CGAGAGGACTAAACCTCTGTCCTTAAAGACGGACAGCAACTGATTGAAAACTCGCGTGGAATATAATGGCAAGGAGGCTCACTTTCTCTCCATCTAAACTCTGTTCTTGGCGAAAAGCCACAACTTAAATACGTAAGCGTTAGCAAGTACAATTTGCGTAAACATATACATGCGTTTATTCTGGCCGGAAGTGAAAAGTAAGAGAAGACAGTAAAGTTTTGAAATAAAATAAACGTTAGTAAAACTTAAGATACTTACAACCAAGATTCATTCAAATGTGTTAGCCCAAATTAGCTTTAGTCCAGAAGGGCTATTAGTCTCGAAACGGCATTTTGCGTTGAATCACTCTAAAAGTCTGAATCACTTTGCCACCAAATATTATCGCCCTGTATTACATTTAAAGAATTTAAATAATGAAGAATCTGCTGAAATGTTTGTAGGTTTTTTGCATTATGAAAAAACAACTGAAACTAGAGCCATTAATTTTGAATTAATCCTCGATCTGAGCATGGGCACCTTGGAAGTCCGAATATTGAATTTCGAATTTGCTTTATTATCTATTTCATATTTTGTAAAATTTTAGGGAATTTTTGATTAACAAACTCAACAACTTCAAAACGAGAAATAGCAACACCGTACGGAAAAAAAATTATCTCCAGCGCGCAAGACTACGTATCAGAAATTCTAAAGATATGTTGTTTTTAAATATTTTGTGATGATGTTGAATTTAATTTTATGTGTCTGAGCGCGAATCACATGATATTTCATAAAATAAGGGAACACACAAAACGTTAAAAAAAACGCCCCTTTGCGCGTAATATGAAATCTGAAGCTTGCAGTTTTTTCACGTTTATTTCACTTTTATCACAACTTTGTGATCTTTTTAGAGGATTTTAGAAAGATCTTTTTAGAGGTGTGATCTTTTTAGAGGATTTTGTGATGATGTTGAATTTAATTTTATGTGTCTGAGTGCGAATCACATGATATTTCATAAAATAAGGGAACACACAAAACGTTACAAAAAACGCCCCTTTGCGCGTAATATGAAATCTGAAGCTTGCAGTTTTTTCACGTTTATTTCAATTAATTTCAATTTTGTGATCTTTTTAGAGGATTTTAGAAGGAAATTTTTTAATTTTAAGTTCCTATAATCTATTTAATTTCGACAAAGCGATGACTGACACAGCAAAATATGTCCTGTTTTACTGCCCATCTTGAGCCCAATCGGCAAATGGAAGAGCATCTCAAAAGTCTGAACATTAACTTGCACTACACTTGCATCTGGATAACGCAAAGCAGTATCATTCTGTGTTGAAAAGCTGACTGTTGAGAAATCCAATATACTCACTGATGGAAATGTTACAAAATTTAATTCTGTGTATAGAAAAAAACTTTTTACATTGAATTAACCACAAAGCAAACTTTTATATATTAATATGCAATTTGTTTCAGCATTTTCCTTCCTTATTTCTGATGCTTTAAATATTTGCTTTCCTTGCTTCTATATATTGAATTTATTCTGGAATGTGTGTTTCTGCTGTATTTTCAGTTAAGTGTAAATTAGGTAATGCCTATTGAAATGAATAAACTATAAACCTCACACGCTGTTTTAAATTGTTATTATTATTATTACTCACATTATAATTCACATTATAATCACATTATAATTCTTTCCACAAAATTTGAGGAATATTTCAGTCATTTTGGAAGCACAAAGCAAGGTTGCTTGAAGTTAATGTATCACTCAAACGAGAGCATTATATTATTTCATTGAGTCTATGATTTATTGTTAAGAAAAATACCAATGATAGTTAAGAAAAATACCAATGATAGTTAAGAAAAATACCAAGAAATCCGACAAAATTCCCATTGATATAAAAATACTATTTTTTAAAACTATCTGATGTTGTTAGCATGAAATTCCCCATCAATTCGATATTAAGACGGCGGAATTGGAGGAATGGCAACGAGTTTTAGATAAACTAGTAATTTCCGATTGATCGTTTGTAAATAAAATCAAATTTCTTTATAAGCTTTATGACTCAGTGTTAATTATAAACACTACTCGTTTTTTTATTATTTTATTCTCTCATGAAATGGAGAATGATAGCAATATCTGCTTATACTTTAAGAAATTTAAAAGTATCACATCGATTGTAAAATATCCTCTAGTCGTATAGTGTTTTAGATTCACGAATGACCTAACAGTATCGAAATTTTAAAAGCAGCATATCTTTAGAATTCCCGATAGAATGTTAAATGTTGCCATACATTTCTTTTTATATTCGCTATATTATTTATATTTGTTATATTATTTCTTTTAAAATAGTACAAACAGAAAACATTTGGTGGCAATACCCTTTTATTTGAAAAATGATTCGACACAAAAGTGAAACGAACATGTAATTGAGGACTGACGATAATACATTTAGCTGCTTAATAACGAGAGCTCGTCTTCATAATGAGCTTATTCTCGTTGTATTTAGCATAATTCCATTAAAACATTTAATGCTTACGAATGTAATACAGTGTCTCAAAAAATTGATGGGACACTTGTGCTTTACAAAAGAAAACTGTAATAAAATTAATTAAAAAAAACATGTAAAAATTTTTGTGGGTGTGTTTCATACTTAAATTTAGTAACAATTATTACATAACATACATTTTCTCAAAATATTAAAATATTAATTTAATAAAAATATAATTGTTTAAAACGGAGCAAAAAATGGCTCACATAAGTGATGGGACACCATTAGATACTACTACGTACTACAATAAAAATATTTTTTTGGGGTTTTTTATTTTTACTCATAAGCAATTGGCAATAATTTATAAAATCGTCTGCAGTATTTCTCTCCAGTTTGTTTTGGAAGTTTTGTGTTTTTTAGCTCTGTGCAGCCATGAATGCTAAACGAAAAGAAACTTTGCCTGAAATTCGAAAATTAGTTATTAATTTGCATACTGAACGTGAAAAATCTATTAGAGAAACTCCTGAAACAGTTAACTTGAGTCATTCAACAGTTTAAAATATCATTAAACGATATAAAAAGAATCATATAATTCAGGATAAAAGAAGACCTGGCCGACCATCAAAGCTATCCAATGGAATAAAGTGAATTATCGTTCAAAATATTAAAAAAAATCTAAGAATGAGTGCTCCTAAAGTTGCTGCTGATTTACAAGCATTATATGGAGTAATTGTTAAACCTGAGACTGTTAGAAGAGTAATTCGATCTGCTGGATATCACGGTAGAGCAGCCAGGAAAAAATTCTTCGTAATTGAAAAGAATAGAAAACTTAGACTGGCTTTCACAAAATCCAACATAAATAAGAATTCTGATTACTGGAATGAAGTTATATTTGCCGATGAGAGTAAATTTAATATATTTGGTTCTGACGGTAGAATCGTGGTGTGGGAGAAAACCCAGGGAAGAATTCTGCAAACACTCTTGGTACTCTTGTTTTTATTGACAGTATAATGAATCAGTACAAGTATATTGACATTTTAAATCAAAATTTGAAATCTTCAGCGCGAAAATTGAACCTTCATAACGATTTTAAATTCTACCAGGAAAATGACCCCACGCACAATGCTTTGAACATTAGACTCTGGCTGTTGTATAACTGTTCTGAAGTAATAAAAAACACCACCACAATCTCCAGACTTAAATCCCATAGAGAATATTTGGCAAAAATTGGAATCAAGAATTCGCAAACACACCATTTCTTCAAAACAACAATTAAAATCGGTGCTTCAAAACTAATGGGGTAAAATCACTCCAGAAATCACAAAAAAAAAATTAATCGAATCCATCCCAAGAAGATTAAATCATGTTTTAAAAGTAAAGGAAATCCAACAAAATATTAAAACCTTTTAAAAAGTAAACTTTTGGGATAAATAATTGATGGAAAAGTAAGTGTCCCATCACTTATGTGAGCTTTTTTGCTCCGTTCGAAACAATTGTATTTTTATTAAATTAATATTTTAATATTTTGAGAAAATCTATGTTATGTAATAATTGTTACTAAATTTAAGTATGAAACACACCCACAAAAAATTTTTACATGTTTTTTTTTAATTTATTTTATTACAGTTTCCTTTTATAAAGCACAAGTGTCCCATCACTTTTTTGAGGCACTGTATGTTGTTCTCAATCGCATACCTATTTTATATACCAAATTTGAGAAGGTTTAAATTAACTCATAACATATTTTGTGTGAAAATATGTTCAGAGCTTCAAGTATATTATCATTTCCGGTTTATCAAATTAAGTACAAATCTAGAGGGTTATTCCTTTATTATAAAAGTCTTATGTACTAAAACGGAAAATTTTGGATTATATTCTAATATGTTTTTTCATTAAAAACTATTATGGGCTTCGAGTAAAGTACCACTTCTGATTTCCCATTAATGACTCTTATAAGCTTCCTGTAAAGTTCCAGTTGTAAGCCAAATTCTAATCAGCTTTTCATATACATGTAAGCTTAAATACGGAAAACAGAAATTTTTGGATGTTTTGTATAAAAGTTATCGTGGGCGAAAATCTTGTTACACAAATACATACATAAACATTATTGTAAAAATAGTAAAAACGTGTTGTGGAGACCCAAATTCGAGCTTATTTGCAGAAAACTCATTATCCAATTTTGGGACCAAAACCTTGCCCATGTATACAAGCTGGTGAGAAGTAGAAAATATCAGTACATTTTTGTTATCGGCACCGGACTCAGAAATGTATGCATGTAAGTATGTACGTACGTACATATGTATGTGAGTGTATACGCATACACACATATATGCATAAATATTTCTAAATTCTGTCCCGATAACAGAAAATACCAAAATACCACTTTTTCGAGTCACTTTATGACGGTACTTTTAATTTATATATTTTTTCTTTTTTAAATAAAATAAAATAAAATATTAAAAGTACAGTAATGAAATGAGCAATGCTTAGAAATTATTAATTTAATTAATTAAAATTATTTTTTCTCTTCAGTACGAGAGAACTGGATTAAGAAAAGATTCTGACAAGCCATTGCAAAACAAGAAGAGCTACTCAAAAATGTTCGAACTTCAAAATTTTCTGCCTTCTCCAACAGGCAGGATGTTTTCTACAATTTTGACAACCTTGCAAAAAATAGGTTTTTCTAATTTCCTATTTCGTATTTCGAAACTAATTATGTTGATTATAATAAATTCCAAATCCTTTAAAAATTTCTTTTTGTTCTTTGAAACTCATATATACAGATATAGTATACGCTATGTCCCCAAAAAAATATATGCATCCAGAAGAAATTGAGCCACAATCACGAAACTCGGCAGGAAGTCTGGTAAGGGATATACAAAAGATTTAAATTTCGACGCCAATGAGACAAGGGTAAGTGTACTATGCGCGTATGAGATGCGCAGCTAGGAGAGTTTAAAAGCATGATTGTTCGTGACGAATATGTCGACTTCAATGAACGGTGTTGTGGCTAGAGATGCCTCTGACATATAACCGTCGGCAGTACGAACATTAGTCATACTTTGAAAAGGGGCGTATAGTAGAAAGCCTCAGAGAAGCATGTTGTTCGTACAGGTGTATCGGCTGCCACTTCCATCAGAGTGATATGGTAGTTACTTAGTGCTGGCGACAATGTATCTCGGAAGGGAGAGTCTACCATCGGGGACAGTCAGAAGGTCAAAAGAACACAAATGAGCCCGAGGATTGGGCAATCAAATAAAAGCGGGCCACTTCAGCAACAACAACATAGCTAGCATCAAATTCGACGCCATTTAGCACCTTCCAGGCATCCAGTGGTATCAAGGGAAACCATTCGGAGACGACTGGCCGATGCTGGTATATGCTGCCAACGTTCATTAAACACCTCCCACTGACTCCACATTGAATGAATTTTTGCCGAACTCGAGCAAGCTGTGGTGTGACCGACTGGAGGCGTGTGATCTTCAGCGATGATCTCGATTCAGTCTCAATACTGATGACCAACGCACACGGTCAGCGATGCCATCCAGCATTTGTTTTCGAGCGGCATATGGCGATTACACAAGGTGTGACAGTGTGGGGAGCGATTGTTTGGGACACACGATCACTTCTAATCGTCCTTTAAGGAACTATGACGGCTATTCTATCAAGTCGCCCTGGTTCCATTTATCAGCAAGAAAACCCTCGTCCACATACTGCGCAACTCTTCCAACAATGTCTTCAAGGCTATGACGGACTATCGTGGCCTGCCAAGTCACCACAGCTCTCTCCAATAGAGCACATTTGGGACGGGCTTGGAAGACAACTGCAGCCATCCCAGAATAATGGGGAATTAACTGCCCATTTGCAAAGATTATGGCATGATTTTCCTCAGGAGGTCACAGGTGGCCTACGTAATTCGATCCACGCCGTATTTGCTATGCTACTTACTGATTTGTAACCTTTTTCATGCCATAACTTCATAATAAAACGATCGTTTGTTCTGAATCTGTAATCATTTGCTTATCTCCTCAAACACTACATACATGTTAAATTTCGTGTAAAATAGTAGTTCGTTTCCTTCTGTGTGTATGTATTTTTTGCAACAGAGTGTACAGATATATATATATGCCTAGGAATACAAAATGTATAATTAATTTTCCTCATCTCTGTAACTTTGGTAAGCGTGACGAGATCATGTTTAGTAATTTGGTGAAATTGAGTTGACTTTACTTCTATTTCTGTCACTTACTGTAACTAGTTGAGTAGTCTTTCATCATTTTGCTGAGTTAATACATCAACAGAACTCCTCATTTTCACTCTTTTCACAATCAAAAAGTAAAACAATTATTAAAATTTTAATAGTAGCTAAAATTTCTATCAGTTTCAATTTCCACGCAGAGTATCATATCATTACTCAATAATAATTCATAAATATTTTCTGCAAAATCAGTAATAATTCATAAATATCAGCGAATTAAAAACTTGTTAAGCATTTTAATTAGGAACAAAAAATTAAATTTTTATTTTATAAAAGTATGTTTAAATTTTATTTGAATACTGTTTAAAATTTTAATACAAAAGATTTTTTCTATTTAAGTTATGCGTGTTTTTTATTCATTTAAATTGCAATGATAAATCATGCATTGCCTTTGAAAGTGCAAAAATTGCTAAATTTTCTTTGAGATACTATGCATTATTTCCTATCTCTAAAATTAAAAATATTTCTTGTTTTTTAGTCTTCGTACTCTACTTCTGTCTGTTGATGCTTAACGGATCTCTATTCAACTTCTTCAACAAATTTTTAGCTCCGCCGCAATCCAAAAAAGGCTGGTTATCATTTCTGCTACATGCAGAAAAGGATGCTTTTCAATCTCCTCTAAGTATCTTCACCAGCCACAGCTGCATCCGATCAGTTTTGATGGAAGACGACTCTAGTGTAGAAAAGGTATACTCAAGACTGTCGCCATTTACTCAGTGGCATTACCTAATGATTATAAGAAGTTCCAAATTAATGGCGCCATTTGCCTATCAACTGAGTTTATTTGTTATACCGATGCTGTTAGGAATAGTTTTAACATCCTTCGTGAAGGTAAGAATTATAATGTGTTTGAGAATTTATAACCTTAGAAACCCAAACTCTTTGATATAATCATGCTTTCTGAGTTTGCATTCCATCTCATTAATTAAAAGATTAATTACAGAAATAATCATCTTTCCACTTAAATAAATATTTATAATTAAAACTTAAATTTGCAATTAAATTTTTTAGTTTAAAAAGACATCTTCAGTGGACTACGTAGATTACATTGCATTACATGATTATTCACATAAAAAAGCAAAATACATATTTTTATTGCGCCTAGTTAATTTAAAATCATTTAACCATAAAATGTAAGTAATATTAGGGCAAAATTCACAAGTTTATCAGAGTTAATTATTTATGTTTATAACGTATTTCTACTAAAAAATAAACCGATTTGAGTTTAGCACTTTAACGCATTCTTTTCCATAATATTTCCAAAAGAAATATTAAATATTCTTTCTTTCTTTTAAAATTTTGGAATTTATGGAAATTTTTATGTCAAATGTTTGATCTGTTTAAATACGTCTATTTTATTCCATGTAGCGAAAATAGTTTTATATCCTTCACAGCTATTACTGAAATCTTTTGATAATGGCATCACAACATGGGACAAAGTTCGGCAGAAGTTCCCTATTTCACATTCAACGCCAATGTTCATGCCACAAAAATGTAAGTGCCTCATTTCTCTTTTATATCTTAGTACATGCTTTATGAAGTTAAAAAAGCAATTTGTAATAATATTTCGAAAGCAACTGCAAATCTACTACTGTTCGAAAAGACATAACTTTCATTAAAATTGTCCACACCTCGATAAAAATGAATCTCTAACTAATTACTTAGCTATCTGTGTAAAGATGTGGGCACCACCAGGTAAGTAAAGTTAACTGCAATTGAATTTCAGAAACTGAATTTCTAGAAGGTAATTCAATTTCTACTTACAGAAGAATAGAAGGCAATTTTTATGCCGCTATTTCCTTCTGAAATTTTCTGTCTTTTCGAACAATTACGGATTAGTATAATTACATAAAGATGCAGGAAATTTTACACGAAACATTGTTGTAAAGATATCTCGTCTTAATCCTCTGACCGGGGAGACCGTATATATACGGCCTAGAATATAATTTGTGATGTCTGAAAGAACGTATATGTACGTGTATTTTACATAAAAATATATGGCGTAGATAAATAGCGTAGATTTTACATAAAAATAAAATACTTCAATTTAAATTCTTTTCCCCTACTTTCATGTTTTGCATTGAATAATAATAAGAAACAGTTTAAAATGTACTTTGAATAATTTCCACATGATTGATTAAAATCTTAGGCAAAGAAAAACGGTTATTGTGTTTTTATAAATGAAGTCAATTATGCAGATTTTTAATGAGTTGTTTTAATTCAAAGCAAAAAATTTTTGAAAAGGTTTTTGATGAAACATTTGTCTGCACGCAGAGTTACGAATCGATTCATCAGATGATATTTGCACGATAGAATAACAACCAAATAGCTAGGATGCATATGAGATGAACAACGCAATGTCAGCCGCGCTTCTATCCTCTGCTTCACTGTCTTTCCATTTTGTGCTGAGGTTTAAGTTTCTGACCATGAAATAATGATTTTCTTTCCACATAAAAGAAATGCTTTTATATATACACCATGTTTCAAAAAGAATATACGTATTACAAAAGTGTTATTTTGTCCAAACTATCGACCATTGCGCCTAGTCTCGGCTATTGGCGAAACGAATACAAAGTCTAGTTTATATTAATAGCCGCTAGATGTCAGTTGTCTTCTGTTTTGCGTAGTAACCGTCACATGTTTAAAATGGCTACTCCGCAGCAGAAATCATTTTGTGTTCTCGAGTTTGACACCCTGTGACTTCTTCCTGTGTGGTTTGATTAAAGACAACGTTTATGTACAACCACTCCCACAGAACCTGGAAGAGGTGAAGAACCGGATCCATACTGTCATAACATCAGTGACGAAAAACGTGCTTGCCCGAGTATGGAAGGAATTTGAGTATCGATGTGATATTGTTCGTGTCGCTGATGGAGAACATATTGAACATCTGTAATCTGAACTTGAGAGGTTCCTCCATACGTAGGTAAAGTTTCATATTCGTATGCCATACAGTTTAATAAATATATGCATTCGATATACGTATATTCTTTTTGAAACACGTTGCATATAAAATCATTTTTTTTTCTACATTTTTTCTGCAATCTGTAATGTGCAGCTCTGAAATTTATAATAAAGTTTAACATTTTTTTTTTCAAATATATTTAGAGTCATTAAGTTGTTTCGAAACAGGAGGTGCCAAAAATGCGCAATGCCCTCCCCGGGACTCGAACCTGGACCTCTCGAAGACGCGCTTAGTGTGCTACCTTTACACCACGAAGGCATGTTGGAAGGAGCGAGAAAATACCTTATATGTTCATTATATGTGATTGAATTTTATACCTTTTTCTGTTTCCAAACTGTATTAAATATTTGCTTTTAAAACTTAACAGCATCCTAAGTTTTAGTTCACGTAATGAACTCTGCTTTAGCAGCAAAAAATTCAAAAGGTAAAATATTAGTAGAAGATTACCTAAATTTTCTAATTGCGTTCGACAGAAGCTGCTGTAAAATATCTAATGTCTATTCCTAAAACAACAATTTAAGCAAAAGTTATGAAAGTGAATGAAAAAAAAATATTATTATATTTCCTCTTTATAAAAGAAAATGCTTGTCTTGAAATAATTAGGAATTTTCACAAAACAAATGAAAACTGTCATTTATGCAAAATAGATGCAGACCATTTGCAATGATTTCAGTTAGCACTAGATGCACTAGACCATTTATTGCAATGATTTCTGTAATCAAAATGGTTTACTTTTAGTTAAATTATATTATAAGATATTAAATTTTTATTAAATGTCAGTACCTTTGTTTATCCATACCAAGTATCTGCTAATGCATTGACATTCTTTCCAAAAGAAGCAGATATTGTCTTGATAAAGCGGTCTCCATATAAGCCATTGACGCTTTTTTATATCAGTATGTTTTAAATTTGGTGATTAAGCTACTAATTTTGGTAACTAAGGAGGCAGCCTATTTATCAGGAAATTACCAGTGCGCGCGTTTTAATATACCGAAAGAAACTGATGGTTTTCATTCATGGAAATCGACCCTGTGATTTTATTTCTGTTGGCAAGAAATGATTGATCGAAAATAAGAATGTTAAAATATAATAATCATATTGAATGTATTGTCTTTCCTAGCATTATGGATTGCGTGATTACTTGGATTTTAAATTCAATAATGAAAACACTTACCTTCTGTCAATATTAAAAATGTATAGATCTTCGCTTTCATCTGCATAATGTTTAAGTATACTATGTGATGATTTCTATGTGACGGAGCTAGAAAAGGATATTTTTGCGCTATGTATTCAACAAATGATAAATTAAAAAATTATAAGGTGTATATTAAAATAAATGCCAAATCAAATAGTTACAATATTTTAAACGCTAAGCATTGCAGTCAGGGCGTATTTTTTTAAAACCCTCTTGTCGAATGTATGATTATATTTTTCCTCAAAAACAAATTAATATTTTTGAAAAACTAGCTGTTAAAATATCTGTTTTTCTAACATAAAAATGAATTCTATTTTGCTGCGAATTAATATATTCTAGCTCAGTCATTTTGTGCGCTCAATAATAACGAAGTAAATGCGTTATCACACATACCCGATTCGGAAAATCATTTAATTGGAACAGCTTTTCTACATGATATATCGTTGAAATTTAGTTTATCTTTCCCTTTTCCGATAAGTTGCAAGATTATTCCTTTTTCAAGCAGTCACTATCAGCATCGAAACCTTTCCAGCTCGGCCATTATCGTGGAATCCTTATTTTTCCTTCACATGGTAACCCAAGAGTCATCCATAGTCGTTGACTGCTTTAACTCGTCTGGAAAAGGAGACAAAGTGTTATGCGTCGTAATCATTTTTATACATAGTAACAGTTTAACTATAAAGCTGCAATGTACAGAAAGAAATAGAAATTAGTGCGTAATTACATATCATGCTTTAAACGTATTCTATCTTAAATACAAGCTAAATTAAATTTCCCTCATATTTTTCTCAAGCTAATATTTGTTTTTCCGAAAGTGAATCAACAGAAATTGTTTATTGTGTCTGATATTTTTTTGATTATTTTTTTCTACCAATGCTAAAATCAAAAAATACCTCTGCATAAATTTTAATACATGTTACTAATTTATGTCTTTAGATGAGAGTAATAAAATGATATTTTAAATGTTATTCTTTACAGGGTAATTATGCATTTCTATCAATTATGAAAATTATTCTATTAAAATTATAGTATTACCTTTTAGCTCCATTCACTATATGTTTTTAAATTAAAATAAAGATTGCTGTGCGACAAAGTTCAAATGATTCTAAGCAAATGGCACTTGTTTTAATTTTCAAATAAATATTAAAATGCAAAGAGTATTTTCATGGCCGATTTCTAGAATCTCATTAGCATTATCCTCCTTTTTAAACAAGGGTTGATTAAGGAAGACTAGCAACTGTTAATAGTACTGAAAATAATAAAATGAATTTTAGTCGATAATTCTGTGGAGAGATAGTGAATGGAGCTACCAATACTTAAAGTTTCTCACTGTAATCGCTTGCCATGTCTATAACCTTCCGCTAAATAACTAGAAGGCGTCTTACACCATCAGCAGATTCACGTCTGTTGATGCTGTACAGTAAAAGCATTATACACCACCATAAAGCTTGGAAAATCTCCTCTCTGTTGTAATGAATTCTTCGTGTTTGCGCTTTTGTTTCAGCAAAGATATCCTAGCCACACGGACTGATAACTGGCCAGAATGGTAGGGTCTTCCAGTACCTCTGATCACCATCATCGCAGGAAATCCGTGAAGTGTTTTCAACACTGCACACTATCATGGAGGAGGCTACGATTTTTCAACAGGTGACGTCATTTTTCTTAAGTGCTAGGCACAGTTAACGTCTCAGGTGATAAATCCAATTATTCTCCATAACAATATGTGGTGTCATAATGTAAGCACTCTCAACCGATCTCCTGCTACGGCGGCAATGGGAAGTACTGGAATTATCTCCATATTTAATAGATATCAGTCCGTGTAATTACAATCTATTCGACAAAGTTAAAGAATCACTCAGAGGTATCCATTCCAATAGTAAATTTAACATTATTATCGAATATTCTTTGATTACAGCATCGCAGTAGAGACGATGTGTATTCGTACTTTAAGCTGTCATTGTGGAGCTTCAGTAGAAATGGACGTGCTAACAGAACACCATATACATGACAAGATTGTACTTAGGAAACTGTCTGTGTTTGTAAATTTACAAACACATATAGCAGTAGCAACAAGACTTATCGACTTGTTGCTACTACTTTTCATCCAACCTTTATGTACTACATATATTCAAGACTAGCTATATATTTTAAGTACAGTAATTTTAAGTACCAAGTGTTACGTCGAAAAAAAAATAATATTTTTCATTTAACTTTTATTTCTTTACAAACTGACTGCTTGGTGCCGCGACCAAAAAAAAAAAAACGAACTAAATCTAACTACTCTAACTTTGTACATACATAATTAAAACTTTTAAAATCTAAGAGACATCAAAGAAAGATATCCTCCCTGGTGTTTCGGTAGAATCACGATTAATTGACAAAAACAAAATTCGAAAATGCACTTCCACAACAAAATCCTTACCAGGCTATCTCTCACTAAATGAAAACTAATTTAGATCTTCAACCTGAAAACACATAAAATTCAATACTTAATCTAGAGATAGCGTTCAACCTTTACCATTTCAAATACCACACAGATCTCTTCAAACACCGGGGAAAGATACAAACTCACAATTAAGAAGTTTACTCAACATAATCAAAATAAATTCTATAAACAGATCGTATAGTCACCAACACTAAAATTGATTTTTTTTTCTACTACCGCAATATAATTACCCAGGTTCGGTTGAAAAACCATGTTTCCGTTAGGATCACATGGATGACCTACAGTAGACCACAATTAATACACAAAAAAAACATACAGTAATAAAGATAATAAACACATTTATTGACAATTCCCACACATTATAATTTAAGATAGCTGGCCAGACTACCCCTACAAAATCTTTTAAAGTTATTCATAGTTTTTTTCTTTCAAATCAATCTCATATTTAACATTAATCCATTAATACGAGTACAAAAATCATAGCGAAACACGTCACAGTTCTTAATCATTTTAAGCAGAAAACCAAGAAGATTAAATTTATTTAAAAAGACTAATTTAGAATCAATCATATTGAACATAGCACTTAAACATTAAAACAAAGATTCACTTCCTCCAATTAGTTCAATTGACTTCTGACTATTAAACATTAAATAAAAAATTACTATCTCAGCTAGAAATTTGGTAAAAAATATTCAATTTTTTATCTACTTAACATGTCAACTCTTGCTTTAGTATTAAACATTTCCAAATTTAAAAGGATTATGCATCAAAATAAAACACCAATGATAATTAAAAAGTCACTCACGAAATCGGCGTACCACCTTTGAGAGACTCAGGGAGCTGCCCCGATCTAAATTATAAATCCCGAAACAATAACTGCCAAATCTTCATCGTTGTTTTCCGGAACCGGAGCCTTTTCATAGTTCCAGTTTAAAGTTTTCAAATTCCTCCGTTAAGCAGCACTTTCACTCAATCAACTTCCCGTTTTCGAAGTTCCACTAAAAGAGGTCGAACTGGAGACAAAAGACCAAAGCAGACCTCAGGCGATGACGACTTTCCATATTTCCATCTTTTCTAAAGCAAAATAGATACTCCAGCACGAACGAGCAGTTCAGACTGTTCCACAAATGGGAAAAAGAAATCTCAGCGACGAAATTGAAAATAATAGGCCGCAAGTATTGCCGCCGTGAAACATGTCGAGCACCCACACTGTCTCGGACCCTCCGTACCCAGGAATCTCGGAGATAAAAAACTTAACTGTATACCGCGGTCGACCACCGAAGAACCGCCGCGTTTTTCCTCCGCACCATCTCAGCACCTCACTGACCGCGGCCGACCCCGTAGGGGCCGCCGTCAAAGTAGCAAACCCCTAAGGCTCCAAAAACCCTCTTAAAAGTCTTCTCTAAAAATCGCTTTTTTTATTTTCAAGTCCAAAAAGATCCCTTCCTGCCTTCCGTGCAACGGCTTAAGAAACCTCGGTTTACACACACCAAGAAACGCCTCAAAATTACTATTGGTTCAAACTACACTAAAATTAAAAATTTAGCCAATCTTAAGGAAACTTGGACTCCCTTTAGCCAATTAAAAGAAAGGTAATAAATAGCCACTGAAATTCTCAGAAGTTCAGAACTTTCTACAAGAAGACAGACCCTTTCTTTCCCACGCAACAGAAGAATGTTTCCAACCTATAACTCTGTCAAAAAATCGCTGCCCCTTAGAACTATTCGCCTCTGAACGAGAAAAACACGAGTTTTCAACCCCCGCGAAAAAAAGGGAAAATGCAGCTGGACAGTGACCTCTAACCTCCAAAGAAGCCGAATCGTGAGAAACGGAAATATACCCGCGCCCTTTTAATTGTAACACAATTCTGCCAAACTTAAAGGAGCTTTGCCGTAAAGTTTAACAATATTAAATATTATACATTAATTTAAAATAAGCTCAATACAAATTCATTAAACACAGTAAAATATTATAATAACTAAGAATACATTATGCACAGTAAAATAACATGCAATAATTATATACAACAAAAATAAAATACATAAGAATTTACATAACACAAGCTACTGGAACCTTAAATATACTTAGAGGACTTTTCGGCCTGTCTACCATCTAACTGCAGTAATTACAACTCAAAGTAAAGGTTTAAAATAAACATGTTTATTAACACCAGCGTGACAATTTCACAACCTTAGGAATGTAACAGAAACAAATTTCTTCTATTTGACAGAATACACGTTTAAGTTAAATTAAATTTGACATACAAATTAACCCTGACTCGGCCCTAAGTTTTCACAGACCTGGATCGGATTAAAACCGATAAAGTTTAAATTCATTCAGCATAGAAATCAAGCGAAATTTGCCAAAATCTTTCACTCAAACTCAAGAAATATGCGCTTGTTTATATTTTAACTAATTTGCGTTCTGGTGGGAGTTGATGAAAATAGAAATGATAGTTAAAAACGAATCAATGAGATAATTGGGTTAATTAATGAGATAATTGGGATAATTTGCACCAATTAAAATAATTGGTGCAAAACTTAACTAATTTTTAATGAAAATCCCTATTGAGTTATTTTAGTTTGGATTTTAGCCGAAAAGAGCAAATCTTATTTACCTTAAAGATTCATAAGTATTTAAGGTAGAGAACTGAACATTGGAAGTACGGCTCATTAGTAGCAGGGTATAATATAGGAATTTTTTTTTAAAAAAATCAAAACAGGAGAGAATATACGTAAATGCGAAGGTGCAAAACTGTAATGAAAGAAAAGCCCATTAGAATACTCATACTACTTATATACGAATTTAAAACCCTTTGACCGGCCTGTGTTTTCTCTAACAAAGCAAACATTTCCGAAAATGACCATGAGAAAGATTTATTTTCTTGTTTTGTAATATCAAATTACTTTTGGCACTTTGTACCTGGATTTATGCACTTTTCATATATTGCCTTAATATCTCGGACTTATTTTAAGACGCACATGGGTCGTACAGAAATGAATGACACAAATGCTGTCACAGAGCGGAATACAATTTATTAACAAAAAACTGATAGTACATCAGTTAGAAATAATCCCCTCCCATGTCAACACACTTCGGTTATCTAACTGGGAGGTCTCGAAAGGCTTTCGTAAACCCTTCTGTGGGAGTGTTGGTGCACCACCTAATGGACAACTGCATGCAATTCGGCAGAAGATTCAACATATTAGCCCCTGACTGCGTCCTTCATCTTGTCAAGCAAGGCGTAGTCCCATATGTTGGTTCGATGTCCGAGGTCCACACACATTTCTCAAATCCAAATCGCCATGCACAATCTCTTGCAATGCTCCTTGTGCAAGCCCTGTCTTGTTGAACGTTATGCACCTGTTCGCTATGATCAAATCCGACACAGCCGCCACATTTGCTGCTATATTCGATATTGCTGGTCATCCCGCGGTGACACCTTTGGCTACGGTCTCATATCCACTGTTGACCTTTGCCAACCAACGGAATACGGTACGTCTTGAGGGTGCTTTGTTCCCGCACACCGACACCATGTGATGAGGAATCTCACTACCCTGTATCCCTTTCTTCCATAGGAACCACGCTGCCAACGCTGACTGTGATAATCACCTTTCATCATTGCTGTCCAGGCTCTCAATGACGGAGGAGAAAGGGATGAACGCTGTCTTACACCGTTCGGGGCTTGCGGCCAGCTCCATCTATGCATTCTGAGTAGCTCACGCCTCCTTGTATCTATTTCACTTGTTTTCCCTTCGGACAGTGTAATAGTTTCGTTGTGAGAGCCCTTGTGTCAATCATTTCTGTACGATCCAAGTATATGTTCTTACAGACATCCCAAAAAATATTCTAGGCCTTATATATATGACCTTGCCGCTTAGAGGGTTAAAAGGCTAACGGTGCACAGGATATCTCAAATTTAATGGAAATTCCAATTAGTGAATACCATAGCAAATAATGTTTTGAATGTAAAAAGTATAAAGCACTTCATAAAACGTTTTTTTAGCATTTAAGTTGTACATACAGAAAGCATTAGCAGCTTATTTCATTGGAAACCAAATCCTAAATAACAGATCAAAATTATACAATCAGCTTTATGAATTAGCAGATTCATTAGAAACCATAAAAAAGTGTTCAAGTTTTAAATAAAAACAATTGATTTGCTTAAAATAGAATTTTTATCTGTGCAATTAACGTTGCCATTTAAATATACGAGTTGAAACCTAAAGCTGTTAAAAATCAGTTCCATTCTTCAGTGACAGTGTAAATGAAATTCTCCAGTGACAGTGTAAATGAAATTCTCCAGTGACAGGGTAATTGTAATTCCTTTCGGATGAAAAATAAAACAGAATTTTCTAATTATATTCTCAATTGCATAGACAATGCAACCTGAGGAGGGTTGCATTGTCTATGCGCTTGAAGATAAAAGTCATTGAATATTGTTGTTTCCTTGGGAGTTTTATTCTAGAATGAAAGAATCTGGGTACTTGGTGCTTATCTTCACACTTAACTATAGATATACCTAGTGCTTAGCGAATTTAAATATTGGTCAGTTATTCTACCCATGCTTCATCTCAATGATGGAAGTAATATAGATGATCTGTAGGGAAAAATTGTCATATGTTTTTAAGATATAAATGTCTGATCGTGTATCCAAACATGAATGAGCACAGAAAAGTTATCAAGCCGTGTAATCGAAATTTCACATTTTTTGTTTCTACTGTGGGTAAAGGAACTTTATTTTTTATAAAAACATTTTTATCATTTCTTTTCAGCTTTGCGTTATGTAATCATCGTGACTGGACTCGTCATAACCTCCTTGGTAATGTGCCTATATACGAAAACAATACAAAATAGTGAGTACTTTTCCTCTACAGTTTACATTCATTACCCCTAAATATGTTCATTCTACATTTTGCACTTTGAAAGTCTAATTGTTGTTCCATTATTATTTTTCAATCTGTAATTATAACAAAAGATTATTGGTGTCTTCATATTGTCAAGAGACTTGTAGTGTTCCTAACCACTTTGTGCTGAACGTAGTGGAACTTATTGAACTATGTAGCGACTTATGGCTGAGCCCAAATGTGTAAACGACAAAATTCGGAGAAGTGTTAAAATACCCTTTTATTAACTCAAAGAAATAATGATAGTCAGCCCCTTCTCGGGCTTACAAGAAAGCCTCCATTTGGGCTGAAGATAAGAAAATAAGAAACTAATCTAATGCTAAACTAAACTGACTTAGCCGAAGCTGTATACAATTACCTAACGTAGTTGGCCCTTAATCAAATTAATCCGCACGTACTATACGGCCAAGCGAAGTGAACTTGAAAGCGAAGTAGCCTGACGGCAAACACGCGCCACTAAGGATTCCTAAGCTGTTCTGCTGAAGTAAGCGAAACTTCTTCATATACTGTTTCTACCTCATTTATGCAACGCGATACAAAAAACTCATTCTGGAAGGTAATTGAAAGTGGGAAACAAGAATTTAAAGGAAAAGGTTTCAAAATTAAAAATGATTGTGAGAAAATTAAAATAACTCTCACAGACTAGATACAAGAATAATTATCATTTCCTAGCTATAAAGTTAATTGTAGAGTGAATGAAAACAACTGAAAGAAAAGATCATTACTCTATGATTTACTTTATTACCATAAATAATAAATCAAGATCATTCATCTGAAAGACCGTACACGCGCTAAAATATTTCTCAAGGATGAAAATCATTTCCTTCTGCTATGGCTTCTGTTTCAACCGAACAGAAACGATCATGTTATTTCTTCTCATACGGGATGAACCTAATATAAAAATGGCTAACTGTAGAGTTTTCCAATGTTTGTGGAACATGTTGCACATATTCTTTGTTTTTCTAAATGCATTTATTTTGCTAAATTTGAAAGTATTTAAGAAGTAACACAATAAGACATTTAGTCTCTCTCCATACACTCAATTCTTTCCAGACTTTAGAGAACAATATATCTAATCCTCATTTATCTAGCGTTTGAAGATAACTTACTTAGTTTTGTTTAATTTTTCTTGCTTTCCAAAACTCAGTTTAAGATGAAGCTGCGAACGTTTCGCCTTGCAGCATTTCTGCTGCATTAATTAGCATGCAAAAGGCCACCTTTCTATCCTACAGTACTTTTGGAGATGTGTCTATTGCTGGTGTTGTATGTCTCCCACAGCTGCCCTTTGTGCAAGAAGATTAGATTAGTTAGATTAAGCGTTAGATTTTTTTATTACCTACAGCTGAAGAATAAAACTTAAAAACAGCTGTCTAATTTTCTGTTTATTCATTTTGGGACTCGAATGACGCTTACTTTATTATTTTACGACATCGTATTCGAAGTCGTTTATGAGAAGGTACTTAGCTTTTCATTTAAGAACTAATGCCTGTTAACGAACATAAATACTAAAATATCCAAATGATGCTTCTGTCTAATAAAAATGGAAAACGAATCATTCACATTTACAAAACACGTGTAGCGGATTGATGAAGTGTAAAATACAAATCGCTTGATAATTTTTGGGACCCTTCATTTTAGGACCTGAGGTATTATTTCTCAATGACTTAGGAACCTCTTGGATGAAGAAGTTCCTCGGGGTTGCGACTTGTACAATCCCATAAATCCGCCTTTGCGTGGACTAAGAGTATAACTAAACACATATACTTACATTTTTGCTCAGAAAAGGGAGACAATCTTTCCAGTCTGTAACCAAAACTTTTAATAATATTCATAGTAGCACAATTGGTTAAATGAATCAAGGAGGAAGAATTAGCTCACCTTATTATGCATTGTCTATATGGCAAACAATTTTGCTTACGGGTTTGTAAGTTATCTCAGTGTATTTAGTACAGAAATTTCATTCATCGTTATTATATGTCATAGAAAGTGTAATCAAGTGAGACCGTAGTGAAAGTTACGAAATTGAATTTCATGCAGCTTATCTGCAATCACTGATGATCGAGGCATTGTGGCATCTTGTTTAAGAAAACGATGATCCTTTGTAAATTATCATGATTAGTAATCATTCAGGTTGCCTTGCGACATATAAAAGCAAAATAAATCAGTCTTCCTTATGTTTCTATAGTGTAATTTTAGGCACATCAATTTACTAGAGGGCAGTGACTAGGCTACCTTTTCTGAAATTCCTCGCTGTTATCTGATCTCAACTTGCCTCCATAACTGTCCAGGCTAAATGGTAAGAGTTAAGGCTTAGATTGGTCAATTAAGTGCAAAATGCTCTGCCCTGTAGTCGTCTTTGTGGGATTGATGTAACTGTTTTTATATGTTGTTAGCACATCTATCCAGTAGCAGAAAAGTTCTAAATTCATTCTAGGTGAAAAGCTAAATTTTCAATGATTCTTCGCTAGCAAATTTTGCTTTCGCACGTTTTAATCTCATCTGTGAATTTTAAGATTTTCTTTCGTTACTCCAATGGTTAGAAGCTGAAAAAGCTTTAAAACAGCATTTTGAAAGTCTAAATGGCCCACATTTTTCTACAAAAGGTTTGATTCCTTTATACAACAAAGAAATATCTTAGTTCATCACAACTATCTTTTAAATAATCACGAATAAACATGCATTACTTAGACTTGAAAATTTGCTTCTCTTGTTAATAATAATAAAGAAGAATAAATTTGTATAAATAAAGTAATAAGATCTTGTATTTATCAAAACTATATATCCAACTTCTTGCAGTTTTAATTCCTATTGCTACATACTTTTTCGTGAAAAAGTAAGAATCAAACCAATTTTTTTTTTTTTTTTAAAGAATCTTGGCATTACATTTCTTTTAGTTTTAAAAGCTAACCAAGTACATTATAGATTCATCTTCCCTTTCCCTATGATCGTAAGGCATAAAACAGAAAATCATTTGAGAAAAATAAAAATAAAACCGCGCTAGAAACAGTATTTGTCTAATGCTTGAATAGAGAAAATATTGAATTAACATTGTTACATGCATTCGTATTGTGAAAGAATTTTATATTTTGTGTTTGGAAATCAAACTTAATAATTACGAAACTAAAATTTAATCAGAGTCTGTAAATAGCATTTGTTCCAGCCACACCATTTTTAGATTTTAAAACTTCTCTTTATCTCAAACATAAAACGAATTGTTAGCTTCATAGCCTAATTGAAATGGGTTATTGTTATGCAAACTATGTTTACATTTGTCGTGAATGTTTACTTTCTCTTTCGTTTAAACTGGTATATTTAACGGATTTCCATTAATCAGCGAAGGTTTTATTAGTATATGTAGCTATCGTTAGAAATGTAAATACGAAATTTTCATTACTATCTCAAGAAACTGAAATAGTGTATCTAACAATTTTAAATTTAATACGGCTATTGTCTTGAGTGCGGATGTTATGCATAAAAGGCATTAATCAGCGCTTTTATTTTTTTTACTGAATACAGTAACATATTTCCTGAGGAAAAAAATGGTTTCTTGGTTGATGTGATTAGAGCAAAGCTTTGGGGGTATCTGTCTAAGAGAAGGGATGCTTTCATGGAGGACTATCAAAAGGAAACTGCCTCGTATATGCGTCACACATGGAGAGAACCATGAAAACGTCCATTCAGCCAGCCCATTCGGGGAATTCCAGCCTCAAAACCAAAGTACCAGTGTTCAGCTACTTATTGCTTCGCCGCTGGTAGGACAAGGAAAAAAAAAAAAATTCTGTCAGTCATCACTACTAAATTTTCTTTCGTTTTTATTCAGTGTATCAGTTTTGGAATATATATTAACTATATTAACGCATTGCATTAATTTCCAATAAATCGCACTATAAACTACATCATAAACGTTGTAAAAGTTTTTTATTCAGTTAGTATATTACCTGTGTGGTTTTGTGTGATTACGGCAAAGTCTCAAGAGCTATCTGTCTAAGGGAAGGGATGCCTTCGTAGAGGAATTTGAGGGGGAAACTGGCTCGTATACACCTAACGCATGGTTAAAACCACGAAAACTCCCATGCAGCTAACCCGTTTCCGGGATTCAAACCTCGGACCGAACTACCAGTGTTCAGCGATTTTACCGCTCGGCTACTGATGGGCCATATAACCTGTGGGAATTCATAAAAATGTTCAGCGCTGTAAAGCAGTTTCACGTCTCCTGTAGTGCTATATTCTTCTACAAGCATATATACGTTCAAAATAATGAACAAAACATTCATGGATTTAAAATATTGATGCATCCTTTGAAATCTGTTTCAATAATGATAAATTATGTTTAATATGTTGCATTCTTTTCTGTCGCTATAAACTTTAATACCAAATGTAAGTTTTATTTTGAAAGTTAAAAAATCAATTAGTAAAGGCTTAAATTGCGTAACATGGAATTCAGTTTTCCTTTTTATTTTATATCTACTAGCTGCCAACACTCAATTGGTATCTTTCTTGCGAGACTTGGGGATCAGAAGTATATACATTCTTTTTAGAATAGTGAAAAATACTTGGAAACTTTGGGCACTTTCAGCCAAAAGTTCCCAATTTTCTCAAGCCGGCTGTATGCAAAATAATCTAATTTATCATTTCACCTTTTAGTCGCTGCTATATTCTGCAAGTGGTATTAAATCGTTTTCTGTGTTAAACCATTAAGTATTGTACCGTTATTACGACATCTTCAGTATTATGATATTGTTGTGACAATTGCTATTTATCATTATAGATACTACAGTGTGTTGAGATTCCTCAACAAAACTTCTTCAAAGAACTAAATAGTTATTTGTTTCTGTTTACTTGCTAAGTACTGTGATCTTATACGCTGATGGACGTTGAGTTATTCAGTAATCAAATAATTCTGCATACTTCTGGAATGAGCTGAGTTAAAAATGAGACGTAATAATGAAAAAAATACCAATTAATTAATTGTTAGAACAATTTAAACCAATCACTTATCTGAACATAAATAAAAATAACAATATTTTCCATGAAAGAATAATGACATTTCAATAGAAATATTGTATTAATATATTCGTATTCATATTCATTCATTGTATTTGGGATAAACAATCTGGTATTGTAGTAGATATAGCGATGTTAACAGACATCCCTTTACGGAATGTATTGCAAGTATAATTGTATATCAAACAACATATGCCATAGACAACTGCTATCGACACCTACGCTTTCGTTATTAATATGTATATGAGTTTATGTCATCTGAATATTACAGATAATGAATCCGTGTGCGAAACACCTGCCTGTTTCTACTGCTTTCCGAGGTTCGTGAGGTCAATATTCAAAGCCGAAATCGACGATTTCCTCTATACATCTTTGAGCGTTATAAACCGTCTTCTGTGTTCTTCTGCAATAGTCATAGCCTCGCTGATGTTGATTTTTCTTGTGTACGCTGCAACCATCCTTACCGGAAGCTTAGTAAGTTCTATATTTTTTGATACAGTTCACCATTATATCAATATATGTTTTATGATATAGTTTCAAATTTTTGGTCGAGCTGAGTTTGTAAAATATAGAGCTTTGACTAGAACTTCAATCTAGAGTCCACTATTGCCGCAGTAGGAAAGCCGATAGTCGCTTTTTATAACTTTCCACATCATGATTAGAACTTGGAAAATATCTACTTGAATGTAGACTGTCCAATGATTTCAAGAGTACAGTCTACATAATAATAATACACATGTAAATGTAACAGCAATGGAGTTCCTGCCTAACAAACCGGTTCAACTGTCACCGACTATAGCGGTACAGTGGATAACGACGCTGGATGCACTATCGTCGGAACAAGATTCGAGACCATGGAGAAGGGCTGGATTTTTGTAAGTGCATTGTACCTGTGTGGCATGGGAGGGGGCATTCAAAATACTGCTGAGCTGAAAATCCTCTCGAGCCGTGAGGGGAAGAGCCCGGTAGGGAAAGCGTGGTAGATCTTCGAATGCGTCCCTCGATAAGTTTTTCATCAAAATTCGACTGGATCTGTACAGCTAATGCGGTGGTACTACACCTGTACAACTAATGGTAACATTTTGGTATTCTAACCATTTATTCCTGCCCTATTCTGTAAACCGGATCTTCGATTAAACTCAAAGCTAGAACCTCTTCGACTGTGAACGAGACACGTTACCGAAACTTGAGCTAATTTTTCGCAATTTCTATTTGAAGATTAGAATCAGAGAAAATTTTCCTTAAATTTGAGTTTTAGAGCTTTTAACCTTCTCAGAATGACTGTTTGTTAAGGGTTATAAATCAAGTAAAATATTTTTTTTGCCTCCTGTCGAAGTATAAAACATTATTTGAAGTATCCAAAATGTAAACAAAAAGAATTTTTGTATGGTCATTATTTCCAGCTCAGTTATAATTTTACCTTCAAATAAATACTGAATATTTTTATTAGCATGTAATTTAAATGCTACTTGTGATTGTGCTTTTAACATATTGTTCGCTACCTGTTCTGGTTTACAAAATTCAGCACATCTAGATGTGCTGAATTTTGTAAACCAGCTTAATTAATATTAATTTAATCAAACTATGCAATTATTTGATAACGCGTAAATAAGTAATGTACGGAACTTTCTTAATAACAGTTGGACGGTTTATTGTTTATTGCCGATCACACGTGTTCTTTCTACCTTAACTGAGATGTCTTTGTTAAGGACATACCGCTCCAACTACTATGGACTAAATTTGGCTGCTCTCGTACCGCTCCTCATTCAACGTCCTCTCACAAGAGAACGTTGAACCTGGAGGACGCTAAATTAAACCGAACAGATTTTATAAAATAGTATTTCTTATATTTGCATTATACATGAGGAAAATCATAAAATTCAGAACGAATTTTAATGTTAAAAACTTCGTTTCTTTCATCATTTCAGTTTTGATATAAAATGGTATAAATGCTGAAGTATAAAAATATGAAATGCGTTTCATGTTGGAATAAAATTTTTAGAAAAAAATGAAATACGGTATACTTAGTGACTAAGTAGCAAAGAAATTACACCACTACTGTTGGATTGTATATTTGATAAAAACTGTAATGTCCTCAAGAAGTGCAGTTATAAATTTTATAATAGACCCAGAATATTATATAAGAAAGAATGTTTTTAGTTATTACATGGAGTCCATAATACATATATATGTGTGTCCCTGCCCTCTCCCTTTCACAGTGAAGTCGCCTGTAAAGCCTTCGTGCATTGAAAGAATATCAGAGTCCATTTTCTACCTAGTGTATTCTCCTATCACTTCAGCACATGACTCATTGGTTTTGGGAGTTGTTGAATGACACGCCATCAAGTAGCACTCTTATTTGAACGCACATTCTCTCTCCATTGTTTAGCTTAAATGCTCCGACCCACGTTTAGCTAGCTGTTATTGGTATCTCAGATAGTGAAAGCGGTTTGCTAATGTTCTGCCAATTAATGCTCGCAGTTACAATCCTGTCCCAGGGAGAAAGTGCTAACAATTTTACGTAGATTTGTATTTAGTACCCATGTTTTTATGAAAGCAAAATAGAAGTATAACTAAACTAAAAACTGCTGATGAGCATCGGAACTTTCAAGAAAAGTGGAAATTGGAATATTTTTGCTGGGAAGTAGAAAGTAAAAATAATCAGTTTGGTATGTTTTGTGCTTTTTTTTCCCAGTCCAAAGGGGCTTTGTCCCTGAAAGACTATTGTTTTCGTTTTGCGATTTTGCGTTGGTTCACTATAAATGTCTGTTTCACTTTTCAAACTGTTGCCCCAAAATTCTAGAGTCCTGCCATTATATTTGAAGAAATTAAATAATGAAAAATCTGCATAAATGCATGTATATTTCTAGCACTGTGATAAAGCAACGGTATATAGAGCCATCGAATTTTAAATGACTCCTACGAATATGGGCATTTGGAAGACCAAATTTGAAAGTTGGAAGTTGTTTTATTATCGATTTCATATTTTGTAAAACTTTAACGAATTTTTGATTACAAACTCAAGGATTTTTAAAGCAAGCAATGGCAACGTTGTACAGAAAAAAAATTTTTAACTCCAGGGCGCGAGTCTCTGTATCGGAAATTCTAAGCATATGCTCATTTTAAAACCATTTTGCGACATTGCTACTGAACTGAATTTTATGGTTTAAGTGCGAAGAACGTGATATTTAATAAATAAATGTAACACACAAAATATTTTTTAAAAAAAAAACGCCCCTTTGGACGTAATTTAAAGTCTGAAACATTTCAGATATTTTTTAAACGCCATTATGAACTACATAAATCAAAATATGATTATTACGAAGACTTCATGAGACAAGTAAAGTTAAAACAGCTGAAACTAGAACTGATAAAACAGCAATTGGTGTTTAGTAAGTATCAAAAGAAAATGAAGTGGCGGTGCATTCAAGTTGCGTCTTGTCGGAATTGATAGCTAAACACTCGAAAACTTTCACTGAAGGTGATTTCGTAAAGGAATATCTAATTAGAGCTGCGTAAATTGTTTATCTGGGAAATCCGAAGCCATTTCAAACAATTTTTGTCTCGAAATGCAGTTTCTGAAAGAATTGCTGATTTTTCTGTTAATTTAAGAGATTAGTCCAAAGCAAAATCACCTAATTTTGAAGGATTTTCCAATGCATTTGACGAAAGTACGGATGTTTGAGGTGCTCAATTAGCTCTTGTTTCTCCGTGCTTGCGACACAAATTTCAACGTATTTCAGGAATTATTGAAACTAGCACCGATGCGTATTGCTAGTACAGGCCAAGCTACATTTGACTGTGTTTATGAAGTTTTACAAAAATATAATTTACCTCTGTCAAACTTAACTTCTATAGCCTACAGACGATGCTCCTTCAATAATCGGAAAAAATAAAGGTTTCGTGGCATTAATGATAAAAAAGCAAAGCTAACTTTATGGTGGATTTCATATTCATCACGCGCACTGTATTATACATCAAGAAATACTCTGCAGAAAATGATAAACATGTAAAATATGTTACCATATATTAAAAAATCTATCAATTTTATAAGATCTCGAGACTTAAAATCAGCGACAATTCTCCGCTTTCTTATGTGAATTAGAATGCGAGTATTCTGATCTATCCTTACTATACCAAAGTATGTTGGTTATCCTGCTCTAAAATTCTCCAACAATTCTGGGATTTAAAATAATAAAAATGTCAGTTTTTAGCACTAAATTTAAGACACAAGTTGTTTTCTAATCCCACACCGGCTGCAAAATTTATCTTTCATGTTTGATATCACAAAACACTTAAACGATTTGAATTATCACTGCAAGGAAAAGATCAGATCATTGCGAACATGTGTGACAGAGTTAAAGCATTCAAATATAAGCTAGTTCTTTGAGAAAAGCAATTTAAAAATGAAGATTTGTCGCACTTTCTGAAATGCAATATGAAAAAAATTAAGTTTAGGTGAAACTGCATTATATAAAAAATACGGAGAAAATATTCTAAATCTTAGAAATGAATTTGAGACAAGATTTGCAGATTTTAAATCTTTGGAAGAATATTTTTTCGTTTCCTTCAATGTTCTCAATGAATATACAGTACCTAGTCATACGCAAATCGAGTTAACTGAAATTCAGTGCCACTAAAATTTGAAAGAAAAATTCGCAGAGGTTGTAGTACTCGAAATTTACAAATATTTACCTACTAGGTCTAAAAATACATGAAGATTTGCATGTGAAATTATTTCAATGTTTGGAAGTACTTATCGGTGCAAGCAATCTAAACTTGTCTAACCACTTATCGACGCTCAGCTTGGGTCAGTTTTGAAAGTAATTACTGCGAGCAGTATTCTCCCCCCAACCACAAAATAGACAAGATAATAGCAGAGAAGAGATACCAAGGCTCAGAAATAAAATAATAAACTGTTTTTGTTCTTTTTTATGACTGTATTTGTTGAAAAATACCTATGTTTCCGTAAAAATTAAAGTTTGTTTCTTGCGGCCTCTCCAAACTAAAAACTTTTAATTTTGGCCCAATTTTTAATTTGACATACATGCTGTACATCTACACATATCTTCTAGCTGCACAGCTGTTGTCATAAAAATGTTGCGATTAATGATGAGAATGTGAAGGTTCTTTGTTACTGAGCGTTTGGTTTTGTTTATTTAATTATGAAAAAGCACACGAAACCTCTTTGCCTAAAAGGAGATATGCCTTCTTGTAGGACTTTTAAACTAATGAGCATTTAAATAAATAAAGCGGACTGTTTGCTAATTCTTCGAGGATAAAATCTCTGTTATGTAATGCATCTAAATCAGAAGTATAGAGGAAATATCTAGGGCTTAAAAGAATCTATTTTATATTAGAATGGCTATCAATCCCTTGGTACCACATCTAGTAATATATTGCAAGTCGACCTGCACTTTTGCATCTCGTCCCTTTCCTACTGCTTACTGCAGTTGCCTTTCGTTGAATATTTGTATGAAATGGCCATACTATGTACATGATGTGACAAGTTCGCATTGATGCTACTTGTCTAGTTTCGCTCAGGGGGACCGGACTCAGAATGCAGTCGTGCCTCTTTCATACTAGAGAAGAAATCCTGTTACAACAGTGTCACATTGTTCATTCTGAATAATCGTTCGAGGGCAAGCTCTTTCACCGGGGCGGAATGTGGTCGCCTTTTATTGCCTATTATAGGAGAAATTCCCTTCCCGGATTCAGCGAAGAAGAAGCGATACCATGAGGAACTAAGTTTTAGCAGTGAGAGACAAAGGTGGGTTTCAGGAGAACATCGGCTTAAATCTTCCTGCTGGGAGTATCAGAAAAAAACTTGCATGAATGAAATATGATTATTTCGGATGTTTTGCTGGCCTAGCACATTCTGCTGTAACCATTTATGAAACTACTGGAGTTATGTCCAACTCCCAGATTGTTTTAACCGCACTTGTTAAAGTTACATTTTTTATTAAAATTCATGTTGTTGTTTATAACTTGAGTTGAAAATTCTTTTAAAACCTGCATTACAACGGGGGTAGCGGGTTCGGCCACTACACCACAATGAGAATATACCTGGTTATTGTTACCTTGCCTTATGCACTCCCTTTTCTCCCAAGAATTATCTGCATGTTCATTTCCTTCTTCTCCTTTGATACATAAAATAACGATGTGCTAAAGTTAACAACTATTTATGAAATGTATGCTTTTTGTATATATATTTTATGTAACGCTGTTAGCTCTATTTGAAATATATTGTTTTCGCTCGTTAAGTGCGGTCAGAAGTTTTAATAATTTTGCTGTCGCATCGAGAATATATGCATAGCACGTTTTACTTTTAATTTTGGAACCGTTCGTGAAAGCTAAATGATATGATTGTAGAAATATTAACGCCTTAACAGTGATGTCACCTAGGTATCCTTTCTGAGATACATGACAATCACTATACTAAATCTTAGTTTCATTGCAGGCTGGGTTGAAATTATTATTCAAAGCATTATCATTTAAGCATCAGATAACTTTATGATATATCCCTCTATTTATGTATTATAATAATATTCCCTGTTCGTACCCAATAGCTAATGTATACCTAATGCTAATTCCCATTTTCATACTTTTCTTCTACTGATTACTTCTAATCCAGTTTAAGTTATGATTTAACTTAATTAGCTAATTTTAATTCGTTTGCAGGTGGCCTACATCTTGTTTGATGTTATATGCAGTTTACGAAAAACAGGTACATAATCGAAAATATCTATTATATATATCACTTAAACCATAAATAAAAGTATAACTATATTTCTTTTTATGCTGTATTGGACGAATGATCTTAAACAAGAAAAAGGTAAAAACATTAACAATGTCAGTCAGATTATTTCAGTTGGAGAATATGTGTGAAAGCGTTCGTGAGTAGATAAAACTGCTAGAAAATTTTATTACAAAATAAAAAGCTGAGATTTGTTTTCAATGTACTCCTAAACATTTATTTATATTTATTTTTATTGTATGTCGTTAAATATTTATTACCAATAATAGTTTTTGAGTGATACGGTTTTTGGTGATATTCATGGAGTTTGGAAATTGTTTCTGCAGCTCTGAAAGTTATATTGAAATTTAAATTACATGTGTAGTTGTACTGAAGTTTAAACTTAGAAAAAAATAGTTTTATTTTTATTTGTGATTTCTTTTTCATTTCCTTTGCTATATCTGTACTCAGTTCCTGATTTTCAGTTACCTATAAATAGAAAGCAAGTCGTTTTCTTTAACACCGGAAGAAATAATAATAATAAAAAAAAAAAAAAAATACCAGTCGTTCCGATTTGCCTGAACTAAGAGTGTCTAAGATGTCCAATAAAGTTTTTAAATACTTCCCTCGCAAGATCCAGTATGGAAAAGTATAAATGGAATATTTTGGGTGATTAGTAAACTACATTTATCTTTGACAGTAACTGTGCTGCTGAAATACTGATATTTCTGTTAGGAATGCGACCAGAGAAAATGAGAAATCCACTACATCAGAAAGCATCTGCTATAAGAAGCATCATTTATAAAGTACTTCTCCGGCCCTCTTAGCATTCCTTCCTGGTGTAGTGATCAACACACTCGACGTGTATTCGAGAGGTCCGTGTTTGAGTTCCGGCGAGGGCATTGATAATTTTTCATCTCTTCTGCTTCGAAATACCTAAAGTCTTTACAGTGGCGCCCAAACTAAAAAAAAGGAGGCTGGATGATGGTTCTCCATTACCCCGATTTGACGATTGGGTCCTCTAATCCCCTGTCGCCCTTTAAAGGGGGAGTATATAAGGTATTTCTCCCGCCTTCTAAGCATGCCTTCGTGGTGTAATGGCCAGCACATTCGGCGCGTATTCGAGAAGTTAGATTTCTAGTCCCGGCGAGGTCATTACTCATTTTGCAAGTCTCTCCTGCTTCGAAATAACCTAATATCTCTAGAATGGCCCCCGAGCTAAAAAGGGGATGGATGATGATCCATCACTACCGAGATTTAGCAACTGGGTCGCCTAAATCCCAGTCGTTCTTTAAAAGGGGGAGTATATAAGGTATTTCTCCTCGCCTTCTTAGCATGCCTTCATGGTGTAGTAGTCAGGACACTCGGCGCGTATTTAAAAGTTCCGTGGTGAGGGCATTGCTCATTTTTCATCTCTCCTGCTTCGAAATACCTAATGTCTCAACACACTAAGTTTAATACTATCAGTAGTTTAGTTTAATACTTGTGCGTATCGAAAAATTATGCGTTTTTTAAGCTGGATTTAAGAGAAATCTTTTAAGACAATGAGTACGTATATATTATATTAAGTATTGATATTAAACCAAGTGACATAATTTAAAAAAAAAAAACCCACTCCTGTGTTATTAAGAGTGTTAGACCAAGTACAAATGAACTCGATTTCCAAAGATATTTTATCAGCACTCCGAAACTTCATCATAAGCTGATACAAAGCAGATGCATACTTTGAACATTTCGAAAGATTAAAGTAGTTTACGAAACAAGGCCAAAATATTTTTAAGCATTAATTACTGCTAGCCTTTTTCTTTTTGTAAACACTCATCAAAATAACAGCTTGAGGACTATTATCATTTTATCTACACGGATATTTAGTAAACAAAATACTTAGCAGACATGGACATTTAACAGCCGATAACATGTTCAGCTGACAACGCGGACGTATAGACAAAAAAAAAAAAAAAAAAAGTTATGCGACAATGTTCTAGTCAAATTTGGCCATACTTATCAGATAAAAGGCTGTTTCTAGGACACACTACGAGAAGGTATATGTAAAAGTACTAATTTTTCATTTTGTTTAATACTGAAGAGACTAACTATTTTAAAATTAAGCAAAAAGCAACCTTATATTGGCATAAATTTTGAAATAAATTTTAAGAACAATTAGACATGGGTATCTCGCTTCAGAAGGGGGGGGAAGAAATTTCAGCAGTCGCAGAAACGAAATGATTTAATTTGGAAAAAAATGAGCCGCGCAAAGTGAAAACAAATGTAACGCAATCCGCCAAAGAAAACAGAAATGAAAAGTGAAAAATCTAAGATATAAGAAATTTGGAAAGGTTGAAAAATTAATGTCATTAACTAAAGCAGAAAAATGTTATTAATGTGAAAGTGTTCAAAGAAACATAATTTACTAATTAAAGTAGCTTTACGCATAATTTTTTGTAGATCCAAAATCAAAGCTATAGCTAAGTACTCTGTTCTGATTAACTTTCAATTTCAATTCAAAAGTAAAAGAAGTATGCTTATAATACTTCGTTACTGAAAAATTCCGGCTATCATATTTAAAGAAAATAACCATTTTGACCGCTATCGAATGCAATTTAACGATGTTTTGGCAGGACATCTGTACATAAGGACAGAATAAAAGACTCTTTTTCCCCAAAACGAATTATAAAACTGATTTAAAATGGATTTAGAACAGGTACTTTCGTGGCTTATGTACATACTTGCGTATGTATGTATGTATCTCGCATAACTCAAAAACGAGTAACCTCAGAACGTTAAAATTTTGTATATAGAACTGCTATAATACGTAGTTGTGCACCTCCCTTTTTTGGTTGCAATCGGCCGTACCAAAAGTATATATAATATATATATGTGTGTGTGTGTGTGTGTGTGTGTGTGTGTAAGTAATGATATTTTTAAATCAATTGATTTAATTAAATTCTAATCATATTGCTTAATGATGTGTTGGCGATTCTCTACCTAAATTGCATCCCTGTTCCTAAATTTTGGCGAAATCCTTTCCTTATTATAAATTATATTAACCTGTTGGCGCCCGCCAAATCGCCAAACTCATAAATCTGTCATATTACATAAAGTCCTTAAGAACACTCCTGATGAGAAGATAGCGTCACCTCGTGATTTCAATTAATATCGCTGACTGGATGAGCACCATGACGGAACGCTTGCGAGAGGAATGCTAAAATAAACGTATCACTTTATATTCCAAAATTTGTCTCATTCCTGTTGCCCCAGCTGCACAACACAAATAATGTATGAGAAAATACATTTCAGATATATGTTGGTAAATTGCGCGTTTTTTGCTTTAAAAATGATTGAAGTATATTATTCCTATTTTCCGGTTAAGGTTTTTATGCCGTTAGTTAAAATGCATGCAATATTTGTAGAATTATCAACAATTTAAAAGTTGTTTAAGTGAGGCTAAGCTTAATTTTCTCATCATGGCAACCATATTTGTTTACATTTGAAACTTAGCAGGACAGTGAATTAAATCTTTCTGCACCTTCAGTGTCTTTTTGCCGACTGGGACCAAAAGGAAACTTTGAATTTTGTGCCCCGCATAATCTGCCTTCTTGCTCGCTGCCCAAATTGCTTTTTTCTGCTTAGAAACTCTAACTTTAATTATAAAAATTGTTTAAATGTTTTAACTGTATTTGGTGTTTTATATTTTTCAATTTTTATTAAGATATTTTGAGGGTGTGTGTATTTTTGCCTTGAGCGAAGTGAGAACTGAATTAATTGAATAAGAAATATATCTCTAATGAAATTCGAGGAAATAAGTTTCGATGAAATGTAGGCAAAGAAAATTTAATATTCCGTACCAGGAAGTCATGTGGTGTACACATAATTTTTTTTCATTTCCTATCTTTACGTTTTATGTTCCCTGACGAGAAATTTCAACTCTATTTTTCCAATGTAGGTAAACCACATTGGCACTATAAGTTAGAACTCCACAGAAATTGAAATCAGAGACGGGATGTTAAGGAAGTGAGCCAAGAATTTTAGTGATGGTTGCAAAAATAACCTGAAAATTGAATTTGCGAAGAATCCGAGCAACTTTGTAACTGATAAAGAGGTGAAATGTTATAAACGACAAGATTGTTAGGCTTATTTTTAATAGCTAAAGGTTGTAACACGAAGCTTTTGAGAGTTTTCATTATTGTCCATGACAAAATTTCTGCTCTTATTGGAAATTGATTTCAAATAATTAGTTTCTCAGAAAACAAGTACTATGGAAAACAAATTTTGGGAGGACTATATATGTAATAGTAAAAAGAAATATTTTTAACTATCAGAGCGACATGAATTTGCATGAAGAGGAAACAAACAGAAAAAAAAAATATATAGTGAAAACAATTTCGGTTGTAAACCAAGAAGATCAATGCATGAAAAACTAGAAGTCGAATTGGAAATTTCCTCTGAAAATGAAATTCATACAACAAATAGCAATCATGTTTGATAGATCAACATGCCAGTTCCGATGGAATGTAATGTTCCTATATGGCTCTGTGTAAATAGGTTTTTAAGTATTAAGTTATAAAATCTTTTAATGAAATATGGCCTCATATTCATTGAATTCGTCAATGCCTATGACGAATTCAATGAAGTACAAGGCATGTGCTACCAATGAAAAATATAGTGCACCATATATTGGAAATTACCAGGAAATACTGTTACCGCTTCTGGACATTTCGTAACAATAAACAACTACGAAGTACCCCTTATCTTCATAAAACACATTTCGCAATTCAAAATAATTGTAATATTATACTGCCATAACCCTGTTTAATCTTTTTATCTGTTAAAAAATTGCTTGAAGAATTCAACTTTTCAAGAAGTCATTTTCTCATCAAAAAAATTCGTTGTTCAATTCTTGAAGATCCCATCTTTAATTTTAACTCTTGTGGAACTTTAGCCTGTTATGATAATATGCGTTGAGATGTGTTGTCCAGACTGAAATTTCTCGGCAGGGAACATAAATAGTATGTGTGAAAGGAGAAATAAAGAATTTTTGTAGCTAATCTGAGGGGACACTTCCGTAGAGCTTGTTCATTTAGTAAACTGGATTCCTTTAAACCCTTTCACATTAACAAAATTTTACCTTCTTTAACTAATGACATAAATTTCTCAACGCTTTTGAAATTCTAATATTTTAGATTTTTCGCATTTTATTATAATTTTCCTCGACAGATCACTTTACATTCGTTTCCGCTTTGTTTCACTCGCTTTTTTCTATATAAAATCGTTTCGCTCCTCTGACTACTGAAATTTCCTTTCCCTTTCTAAAATTATTGTGACGGTTCTAAAGTATCAGTATATAGATTTCCTAAGCAACAAGATGTATTACATAGATGGTTAAAATCGATACCGCGAGAAAATTTTACCATTTCGAAGTATTCTCGGGTAAGTTAAACCTAATTTGAATTTTAAATTTATTAAGGTATTTGCTTCTACGTTTAAAAAAAAGGATACGTTAATATTTAAGGAATTTCATTTTTATAGAATACATTTGTATAATTTGTTAATTAGTTCGTTAGTAATTATTATCGAATTGTCTGATTAATAATTATGTATCGAATTGCCGCTAAATTTACTCTTCTTTTTAAAATTCCAATTTTTACATTTTGAACTATTTTTAGCTTGGAACTTTTAACTTCATATGTATATGGGCAGCTTAATATATTGGTTTTAAAAGTTTTTCTAAAGAAACTGTTAAACTTTTATGGTTTTTTAAATTGTAAATAGTATTTTGCGGTTTCCTAATACATTATTAAAACTAAGAATCCTTTTCTTTCCCCCCCTTCCCGATTGAGACAAACAACATATGCTTCTATTACCTGTTTTGTTAAAAACATTGCATTCTAAAATCTGCTTTTTACTTTAAAATTGTTATTGATATTATAGTAATCTGAGTAGCTTTCATCATCTAAAAATGTTAAGATACCTAATGTTTAACTTTGATTAAGAAAATAGTATCTGTTTCTCCATACCCCCAAATTAGCTTTTTTTATTTCTGCATCTCGTTATCCAGACATCTGCCGTGGAGCATATTTAATAATATTTCTTAACAATTAGTAATATGAATCCCGTTAAAAATTAGTGATGTGCATATATCCTTATCTGCAAGAAGTTGCAAAAATTAAAGGTGTAATAAGAAAACAGCTTTAAAATTTTTTTTTTTTGTTAACTGAAAGTTTCGGGTTTGCCCCTCTCAAAGAAGTGTTCAGTTTATATTTCAAAACTCGTTGATACTGTTTTCAATTTGTTTTCAACCACTTGCTATAAATTTTAAGAATAGTGCATATTACTTTGCCACATCCTTCTACTTGAAAAGATTGTATTCTGAATATACTGTTTATCAAGTGGACAAACTCCTGAAAATTTCCGATTATGCTAAGGAAAAAATCCGCTTTTCATACGAAAACGATAATATGTCCTTTGATGATTGACGAATTCAGATTAAAGCTATTTTAGATTTCAAGGTGAAAATATAATAGAAATGTTAAAATCTAATTGTGAAACTCTGCTAATTCGGCTTGTGTTTTTTATGCTGAAAGTATTAGATCTTCATATAAGGATGTTCTAGTATTGTCCCGTAAAATCATTTCAGCGCAATTTTTGCATGATATTTTGTAATCAAAGGTTTATAAAATTAGGTTTCGGTGTAATATGTGTGTTTAAATCTACCCTGCTAAATTCAAAACTTCTCTCCTTAAAATTCCCACATCCTTCTTATATTTTTATTCATTTAAATGACTTGAATCTTTTAGTATGGAGGGGAATTCCAGCATTATCTTACTTATTATCAAAGTCAACCATACTTAAGCATTATTTAAAATGTAAACATACAATATAAGATCATAGAAAAATTAAAATATATACTATATTTTTTGAAAAGGAAAATGTTTCAATATTATGTCCGCATGAATTGAAAATGTATATTTTCAATATATATAAAGTAAAAATTGAAAATATGTATCTACATCATTAGAAAATACCTCCTGTTAGTAAAGCTTTAAAAACATATATACTTTAAAGGCAGATAGTAGGTGACCAACGGCGATTGTCAGCCGCCAGTTTGTGACGTCACGATCTCGTAATTGGGCTTCTGTTTAAGAAGGTGTTGGCAATGAGCCTCTTGAACCTTTTCCATGATGTCATTTTATGGATCTGGATGAAAGTAAAAAATGTGGTACTTATCCATAAACTTTCTCACTGTGTACCCTGAAATCAGCCCTTTATCAGATAATTATAGAATATTTTTACCAAAATACTGCATTTTTTGTTTGTATGTATGCGTTGTCAGATAAACTTGCTGTATGTATTGTCCACTAAATGTCCTGTCGGCTAAATAACCCTGTCGGCTCAATGTCTCTATAAGCTGTCGGCTAATACCCGCGTCGACCAAATATCCTGCCTGCTAAATGTCGCGGACCCCATCTCCGAAGGATATTTCGACAGCCTCGGGACAATATCTATATCGGAATATCCCACTAACTTATTTCTGTGCTGCTCTCCAAACATGATCACTTTTTGAGAAATGATATTTAATATCGATGTTATCTTGAATAGTGCTTACTTTCAAAGATGGTCATCTATGGGAGGAGGTCGCAATGAAAGGTTTCATTCTGTAACTAAATATCTTGAACTTAACTTCTATATGCACATTTATCATTGACGGATTATAAATATATATCATTATAAAACGGAAAAAACTATGCAGGCGCTAGTGTTTTTTGTACTTCATTATTTACTCAATCACATACTTGGCATTCAATTTATCATATTTGTGGCAGAGATATTTTTAAGTATTTTGATTTCTAATACTTATTCAATTGTTTTAATATACATGTGACGGACATTATTTCGCATTTAGTACATTTTTGATAAGCTACCATGATCTGAAATTTCAGACTTTAAGTTCAAATGTTAAAAATGTTGTTGCGGTCGTACGGGTTCGTTATGAATTGAATGCACAAGTCCGATGAAAAATGAACAAAATTTACTATCACAACAAATAAAACAAAATGTTTAAACTTCCTCAGATATTTGTAAAGTATTACAGTAGTTATCTTTTAACAACTCAAACGTTCAACAGAACTTAATTCAAAACAGCTAGAAAAAGCTAATTCGCTACTGTCAACAAGAGCAGTTTTCTAAACAAACTCTAACGAAATAACGAATTGAGAGGTTTTCATGCCGTTTATATGAGATTTTTAAATGTGCGAGACTTCTCGAAATCAAAAAGAGACATTTATTTATTTTAAATGTTAAAAGCACTCGCTCTTGTATTTTTAATTTTCCGGATTAGCTTTCTTTTAATATTCGTCATCGCTGCACTGCACAGGGAATACAACAATTTTATTTACAGTTCTACTAACATTAACTAATTAAACACCAAATCCGTAACAATAGGTATTGTGATAACATTAAAAGCACAATAATGTAACAAATTAAGATACCCTGATACCTTTAAATTGTATTAAGGTACGCCTTGCCTGCTTATTGTTCTAACATTCAACAGTTTCATTTATTTTATACGATTAAATTAATCTGTATTGTGTTTTAATCTAAGCAGATGATGGGATTTTATAAACAGTAGTTTTATGTAATATTACATAAATTTATGCTTCAGAATATAAGCATTGTATGGCGTAATTTAAAACTGTGTTAGATTTGCAAGAAGTGCAACATTTTACTAAAAGATAAATTTCAGAAAAAAGAAAAATCTGAACTCTTAGTGACCAGTAGTAACTGTTCTTTTTAAGAAGTAAAAATTTAAATATTAATGTATCTTTCTATTTTTAGGAGATACTATTACACAGAACGTCTCAGGTAATTTCTCAGGTAAATTAACTTTCTTTGTAACATTCAATCATTTTTCATGCTCATAAAAAAATTGTTTGTCATTTCCATGTGTTTTTATTTCCAGATTGAAATCTTAAAGGAGTGCTGAGATCAAGCAGAAAGGCAATATGAATAATCGCTTAACTTTTACTATAACCTGGAAATAAAATTTCTGTTGTAACTTTCGTGAATTTATGTTCCCTAGAATGAAATTTAGTTTCGTGTTAGTGTTACATTAACAAAGGAAACGTACTTACTATAAATATATTTTTAATAAATAAAATAAAAAATTAAGATTTTTTATTCTTCGCTGTTTGAAAACAATCTAAGATTTGAAATAGCAATAAATAATCAAACTTAAAACAGAATTTGCTCAAAATTAAATGTAACATACATAACAATAACTCTAAAAGAAATTCGTGGTTGTTTCAAGCCATGCAATTTGTAATTTTAAACTAAAAATAGAAGCTCTAGGAAATAAAGCCTAGATTATGCAGTCACGACATAAACATAACATACTAAAAGGTTATAATTGTGGTACCTTTGGAGGTGTGCTTTTCGGACCTCGGCGAAAGCCTGGTTGCTTGGGAGATTTATGATTTTCTTATATGTAAACTGGATGCGAGCCAGTTTCCCTTAAAAGGTCCTCACGAAGGCATCTCTTTCCATACCTGTCTATTTTCTTTGCTTTATTCAATAAATCTAACCTAACTTAATTTTGGAGGTAATGAGGAAATGGTAGTTATGAAAAGATTTCATTCGAAAACGTGTACAGTAATACCTAACTTAATTCCTTTAAAATAATTTAATGCTATATCTTCAGAAGCAATACAAATTTCAAATTCTTGGTCTCTGCTACCACTTCAATTGTTGAATACTTTCCATTGTTGTCCATCACTTTTCTATAATATATTGCTAGTATTGCTTTGTAACTAACTATCATATTTTTCCCGTTAAATTAAAGAAGCACAAAGCCCGCACAAACCCTGTTAGTGGGACTCTATTATAAAGGAAGTTTCTCCTTTCTCTTTGATGTCAGAGTTTCAAGCTGAACGAAAATAAGATGCAGTGATATGAATCCAAAACTCTAGTGTTAAATAAATGTGTTTATATACAGAATTATGTATTTTTCGGCAAAATGTTATGAAGGAAAGTTAAAGGTCCAGATTTATAAACGCTGCACGGGAAGAATACTTGGCGGATGTGATGGACATTCGAGCGATGGAAAATTGTAGCATGAAATCGGTGGAGCAGGTCATAATTGAAAAGTGTTTCTTTTGAACTTTAGGGCTTTATGCAGAAAGGCTCTCTATTGTGGTTCTTCGAATGAACTCATCTTTCCACGCTTCACGGTGTCTCATCTCTAACAACAGTGGAAAACTGTGTAATTTTTACACAGACCATCAAATTCTAATAGCCTGCAGCTCCTTAGGTTTCGTGCACATCAAAATTAAAAGGCAAAGAAACACAAGTTTTGCCAAAGGCGTTTTGTTTCAGATTTTGGTAAAATCCGATGGAGGGAATTTTAGACCATTCTTCACAGTTTGCAGGAGAGGTTTCAATGAGCGGTTTAATGCAGATTGGATTCAGTTCTACTGTGTTATGAAACTAATAATAATAACAAATTATAAAACTACGTGTCTCTGTGAATTATTATCTATTGAACTATTTTTACAGTACTACACAGTATTTATTTTTACGATACTGATATTTTGAAAATTGCATTTTAATGATAGTGCGTTTATTGGTGTTTAACTCAGAATGCTTTAAATATCCTTATGTTTGAATTATAAAATGTGGGTAATAATATGCAAATTTTAAATTATAATTTTAAAATACACATAAATAGAAATTTCATTTTTTTTTGTTATTATTATACACGTCATAATACTTAAAGTAATGCTAGTTTATGTACTGCAACTCAGCATAATGATAGTTTATGTACTGCAGCTCAGAACCTGTTTCTGTCATTTTTTCCTCAAATGGAATTTAAATATAAAATTAAAATAAGGTGTGCACACCATTTTTTTTCATATAATCTGAGTAACTTAAATTTACGTTACTTAAGATAATAGCACTGCTAACCTAGAACATAAACTGCACAAAAGAATAACTTTCCGATTATCTAATTTAAGCTCAAATGAAATATTTCAATATTTTTTTCTAAATAGCAATTTAATATACTATTTAGAACTATTTAAAGTGATAATTAATAGCAAATTTAGTTTAATTAATAAAATAGGATTGAAAGTTAAATAAATATAGAGGAGTTTTATGCGATCTTAAGAAACCAACTGAGAATAAAATTTGTGCACTAATTCGGTTTTTCAGTAAGAGGAAGCAAGGATAATTTTAGACTAGCGAAAACAACCACTTCTTCATACGGCTTAATTTTAATCCATATTGACAGCCCGTGTCGAATAATTTGAATCAGCTCTGAAAAATCTCTCTTTAGATATTCACTTATATTAAAAAATTATGTTTTAATAAGAATAAGAACATAAGTTTTCTTTAAAGATGAATACAAATTTTATTTAGAAAGATTAATATAGTTAGAAATACCAAACATTCACATTTAAACATCATTTATAATGTAGAATAAAATAAATAGATAACATTATTAACAAACAAGAAATCTTATATTCGCAAAAATTTTATTGAAGTCCAAAAGATTACATTTACGCAATTTCAAAATAAGAATATTAGTTTAAGCAAAGCCAGAAATAATCACCTAAAGCGCTTAAATGTTTCAAAAAAGAAAGTCAATTTTGTGAGACGAACTGCGGCATTCCTACATGCTTTAGTGATGATAGTGATTAGCACATTCAGCTAAGAAAACTCAAATATATATGAATTGAATCCTGGTGAGCACCAACAATTTTTTCTCCATATTTCTATCTCGACACGTCTGTTTCGTCCAAAGGGGCTTTCTCTTTGCAGGACTGTTGTTTTCGTTTTACGATTTTGCGTTGGTTCACTGTAAATGTCCGTTTCACCTTTCAAACTGTTGCCACCAAATGTTAGAGAATCCTGCATTATATTTGAAGAACTTAAATTATGAAAAATCTGCATAATTGTATGTATGTTTCTCGCATTGTGATAAAGCAACGGTACATAGAGCCATCGAATTTTGAATGACATAATCCTACTGCGAATATGGGCATGTGAAAGCCCAAATTTGAAATTTAGAATTTGTTTTATGATCGATTTCATATTTTGTAAAACTTTAACGACCTTTTGATTAACAAACTCAAGGATTTCAAAACGAGTACTGGCAACGTTGAACAGAAAATATATTTTTATCTCCAGCGCGCGAGACTCTGTATCGCAAATTCTAAAGATATGCTCAGTTTAAAACTATATTTTTCGATATTGCTCTGAACTGAATTTTATGGTTTAAGTGCGAAGAACGGGATATTTAATAAATAAAGTAATAGACACTATGTTAAAAAAGCTCCTTTGGACGTAATTTAAAATCTGAAACCTTTCAGATTTGTTTTTCTTCTTTTTTTCTTTTTATTTAGACATTAAGGACTTGCGTATCAACTCTGTGCTGTTGTTTTTTGCTTGATCTCCTTATGAATGATGTCATAAGCTGATCCAGTATTAATGTACGAAAGTTATGCCACCCTTTTTATTATGATGCATTGAATTTTCCCCGTCAAGTTTCTCCACGGTTGCAGTGTTGCCTTGTTTCTTTACTGGATCGGAGAAGTCTCCATATTAAGGATGCACATTATTAATCTTCAGTCCATTCGTACGCTGTCCATCAGCGAACTAGCGGTAAAGTCAATGAACACTGTTAGTTCGAATCGCGGCTGAAGGCCCCCAAGGCAAATAGCCCTCTAGCGCTTTACTAGCGTACGTATGACTTGCATACCTGTTACTGTAACGAGTTGTCTCCAATCATCAGTCTGTGTAACTTTTATTCCATCGCTTACCCTATACCTTATTTCTCATTCTAGATATATTGTTGCTTTTTCGAACCGTTTTTTAAGTTCCTGTCCATACAGCAAGCGTATGGACTATTTATTAGTTCCTCAAGTTCATCAACTTGCATAGCCGACGCAATAGCGGTATCAATTGTTTCCACAGTTTTCAATACTTTTTAACTTTTCAGATTTCTCACGGAATAGCTTAAAAGTATTACAAACAAAGAATTAGAGAAAATGCTTAGACAGCCGGGGAAAAAAATTAATTGCTTGATGCGGACATATTAAATTATAGTAGTGTTTTCTGGGCTGTAATAAGATTAGAGAATGTAAAGCATTTTATGATGATAATGATGATTCATCATTGTACACCCCAAGCTTACAGCGAAACAATTATATCTATTGCCTTTATAAGACATAATTTAAGTTTCTAACCAGCTTTTTTTTTTTTTTTTTTTAATTTTATTTTCTTTTTTATCGATCTCACTTCCATTTTCCTGCCAGAATGTAAATTTATAGCTCGCGCAATATTCAAATGAGATAGAAATAAGAGACTTTTCAAAGGAAGGTTTTAAAGGGTAGAATTAGAACGTATTCAGCCAGCTTGAAGTCCACGTTGCTAAACTTGATTCTCTTGCAGACGTTTGTTCTGCGGCTTTGAGTTATTCTTGCCATTAAGCTGGTTATGCCACCCTTAGTTCAGATCCAGCTTACACGTTATTTCAATTGCGAAGCGGTTAGGCTAACATATTCATTAGCTTTAATTAACCAATTACCTTTAATTTAAGCCAAAACTGTTTGTTTTTGCGAGCACGAATTGGCGTCGTCGGTTAAACTTTATTTGAGTTAATAAAAGGGCCTTTTACTCGCTTTCCCTGTCTCTGTGTGGTATTTAAAGACAAAGCGATAATACGCCACTTGTCTTTTATTTTGGTCTATTTCCTGTCGCCTAAGAACGCCAAATTCTGTATCTTTATACTACTATCAAAAAGCAATCATATTGCTTCTGTTTTTATTCAATGTTTGTTTAATTTAACTGCTCTCCATCATTTTACCATTTACTCTTCGTTTGCAATGACGTTGAGCCTTATGCTTATTCGTAATTTAACTAGTGTAATGGCCAAGCCCTCACTTTTTTTCACTCCGACTTCCATTTCGACAGTGACAACGGACGCTCGTTAAAGAGACTATAAATAAACTGGGTTGAAGATCGCTCGCTTTTTATCCTGCCTCGCTTCACCTTGAGGTGTATTCCTCGGAAGCGTGAATAAAGGCTGCTATATAGAGACAAGTCGATAATTTTTCTTCCAAGGTCATGAGGTACCGCCATTCCGGCTCATATGTCCTCGTGTTGCTTCATGTTATTTTTTATCTTTCGTATTCGCTTTAATTAGCGGGACATTTCCCATCATATGTAGTCTTAAAGTTTCTTGCTAGCATGCCAGAAAAAATTAATTAGTGAATTTTGCAATGATTTGAGATTTTCTTCCGATCTGAATTTTTTTACAAGGGCCATGTAGTATCGCCATTTTCGGCTGATTTGTCCTCATGCTTCCTCACATGATTTTTATCCTTGATAGCTGCGAAAATGAATGGCAAATCTTTAAAAACAGACGGACATTTTTCACTCTAATCATGTCCTAACTTCTCCTGCTGGCATGGCATCGAAAAATTACTAGTGAAATTTGTGATGTTTGTTTTACCCTTTGTGTGAAGCTCTTGTATGAACTCGCGAAAAGGATTGTAACTGGAGTTATGAGATTCCTTGTGACCAAACATTTTTCAATACTTCTGCTACAGTGCTAGGATTGAAATAAAACAGGTTAAAGAGTCCCATTTCCCTTCACCTCTTGCTTACCCGTGTGCTGTTATATGTTACCCCAAAATCCAACAACCTACATTCTAGTCTCGCTGCTTTCAAGCTATTATCAACATTGTCGTGTCTTCATCATTTCATCTAAGGAAACGTTTCTATCTGAACTGGACCAAAACATTTATTCTAAATCTTGAGAGAAGTGACACCTGATTTGTTAATGCTATATTTGTCACTAGTGCAGCTGACTGTCGCAGTTAAACTTACCCCCCTTTCTTAGGTTTACTTAGTGTAATCATTAGGTTTACATACTGGAGCAAGAAAGGCGAAAAATGAGCAATGTCCTCATTGAAATTCAAACTCCAGACCATCCTTTGCTAACCAGACGTGCTTTCCAAGTTACACTAGGAGGGTACACAGTAGGGAGGGAGAAAAACTATGTATCTTGATGACATTGCTGATATTTTATTCACATTGAACTTTCTACGTTTTCACATGGAAAACTCTCCCCGAGCTATCACATCATTTCATGAAAGAATTATTAATATTATTTTGCGCTGTTGTTCCACTCGGGATTTAGTTATCGTCCTAGAGTCCACATATGTGTAACACAAGTAAACACTCAAAAAGACAGTTACTGCACATAAGTTGAAATTGCATAAAATATGTTTGCAATCCACACAAAATTTGAATAAAATAAAATATAGAACAAATTATAAAGAGTTAAAAATAAATAAGAACACCGGTGCAGTAACACAAAACCAATAAAAAGGAATATAATCAATTAAAAAAAATCTGAAAGCTTTCAGATTTTATATTACGCCCAAATGGCGTTTTTTTAATGTTTTGTGTGTTACCTTTATTTATTAAATATCATGTTCTTTGCATTTAAACCATAAAATTCAGTTCAACAGCAATGTGGCAAAGTAATTTTAAAATGAGCATATCTTTAGAATTTCCGATACACAGTTCCGCGCACTGGAAATAAAATGGTTTCCCTCCTCTCCCCCATAGAGTGTTGCCATTACTCGCTTTTAAATCGGTGATTTTGTTAATCAAAAATCGTTCAAGTTTTACAAAATATGAAATCGGTAATAAAACAGATTCCAAATTTCAAATTTGGGCGTCCGGATGCTTATGTTCGCAGTAGAATTACGTCATTCAAAATAGGATAGCTCCAGGTACCGTTGTTTTATCACAATGAGAGAAACATTCATACATTTATGCAGATTTTTCATTATTTAATTTCTTCAAATATAATGCAGAGCGATAGTATTTGATGGCAATGATTTCAAAAGTGATACAGCTTTTTAAAGTTTTCAACGCAAAATCGCAAAACGAAAATAATAGTCCTTCAGAGACAAAGCCCCTTTGGACTAAAAACACAAGTAAATAAAACCACATGCAAACAAATATTTAGCTAAATATAAAAGGTATTTTTTGGGGGTTGTAAGTTTGATCATTATAATCCGTTTATCTTTCATTCAACCTTTTAGCAACTAAACCCTTCGTAATCTGTGCAATGAAAGCACGACGCTACTAAACATTATGCTTGTGACTGATATATTTTCCAATCGCTCACTAAAACAAAATTCTGGTGCTTTTAAATAACATTACTTATATTAACTTCAATAACATTACTTCTTCCACAAACAAACCACTTCAATAATTTCAGGCTTGCCCTTTGTCCAACTCTTGTCCAACAACCTTAATGTAAGGGAAAATTATGTTAAAAGAAGCCGAGTGGACAAGACAGCTGAATGCTGGTAGTTTGCATGGGATACGAATCCTGGTAAGAAAGCTACATCTATTTGAATGATGTGTATATCTATTTTTCAAATGTATAACACCAAAACGAGCCATTTTACCTTTATAAGTTATCTATGAAAGGTTTCAACCTTTTAAGTCCTTAATTATTGGTTAATGTGCAGTGATCAATAATACGCAACAAACAAGCGAGTCAACTTACAGGTAACATACTGTGCAGTGAAATGTCAAACAAAATCAATTATACACACAAACCAACAAGGGATTAAAAATAAGATCTGTTCCTCACTGTTACCGCAAGGATGTTGGATGAATTATGTTAACAGAATAGGCGATATATTGTGCAGGAAACCGATATACAAAATACCATACATTTCTCATATCTTTCCGATAAGTAGAGGAAAGCACTTTTCCTGCTTGAATGAACGCGTGTGAGTAACTAAGCACGTTTTTGTAGATAAAATATTAAAAAGTGGCCATTAAATTTTCGCCATATTTTATGAGTATCGTTCATGCATAATCAAGTATGCGAAATCCGAAATCAGGAAGGCATAAGAATCTTTATTGGATTAATAAAGTATTACAATATCACTCTTTCACCTCCCCTCGAATGGTTTTCAAATTTTTAATTCTTTTCTGATGACACGAATTTATATTCTCAGAATCCAAAGCAGTATTATATTATTCATTCACAGTTATATATCACAAAACTCATATTTAGGCCTTTTGTTTCCCATATGGGCAATAAACACTGAAAAACAAAAATGTACATTAACTTACTTAGCTAAATAATTAATTCTGTGAATCCATATACTTGAATATAAACAGGTCAAGTTCAGAGCTTAACAGTTACATTTTAAGTAACATTATACTGAATATTTCATTATGTTTAAAATTAGTATTCTTTTAAAATTACCGAATATTTTCAATAGTGGCTCATCGTAGTGTGGGAGGGGAGACAATTTTCATATTAAGAAACAATGCAAATGCGGACTGGCACTACGCTTTCTTACTTATCTTTTGCCGCTCCTTTTCCTAAGGACTTCCGGTAAACATCTGTAAATAACTCGCATAATACATGCAAATGCTTGTAAGACAGTTTTAGAATTTCGAGAAATCTGTGTTTATCAGTATATGAAAGAATTTAAAGTGCCACAAGAATAACAAAACACGCTTTTAAAAGCCTTTGAAATAAAACTTTTTCTGTTAATTTTTTCAAAGAAGAAATTAAGAAGAAGGAAGCCTTATTTTTAAAAAAATGTAACCTTTCAAAAATCACATGAAAAGCTAAAGGATTTAAAAGCGCAATAAATAGTTTAAAAGAAAAAATCTGTGAAGTGGATGGCTCTACAAAATTATTTAAAAATACAGAAGAAATTTTAAAACAGAAAGCAATATTTGCGATGATAAAATTAGAATAAATAATATGTAGAAAGGAAATTCCTTCCTCATTTAAAATTGTAATTTTTAACAAACAAAAAATAATCTTGGCCTTGTACTTGCATTAATCATAGAAAAATCACGAATGATCGAAGTTAGAAATCAGTTAGAAATCAAACTGAAAATAAACTTCGCCCAGTCGGCAACTCGGCGATAGTGAGGTGAATTCTGGCAATAATTAGAATCATTTATTTCACAATAAACACTAAACTGTATCTTATATAATATGTTAAATTTTGCCAGTTTCTGTCACTATAAATGAAATAACATTTTAGAAATAAAAATTAAAGAAGATTTATTTACGCTAATCAGAATTTTTCTTTCATTTTAGTAGAATCAATGCTAATAGAAAATTTAAATGCTGCATTGCAAAATAAATCCTCGCATTTCAGTATCACTAAATCTCTGAACAAAATGATTCATGATTTTAGTATAATTTATGCCGCCGTGATGGGTATAATGATTGGTATGGCTGCTGTGCGTTATTCGGGCCTGGATTTAAATCCTGGAGAAGACTAGGATGTTTTTTAAATCGCATGTCTATACGGCATAAGGGAACAAAAATGCTGACTAGCAGAAAGTCCTCTAGAGTAGTTTGTTGGTAGAAAAACAGGGTAATAGAAAGTTTTTTAATAAAGAAAAACAGGGTAATCGAAAGTTTTTTAATCAAGAAAAACGGGGTAATAGAAAGTTTTTTAATAAAGAAAAACAGGGTAATAGAATGTTTTCGAATAATTTTCGCAGACCCAAAGTTCAAAATTGTGACTACATTTCCAACTATGATTAGCTATCAAAGACTTGTTAATTTCTCTTTTTCGGACATAAGAATTAATGGTCCTTTCTGGGGAAACGGTGTTATAGTTTAGCCGATGATTTTCAAACCATACTATCGAGATGTGTAAGATATTCTTGGGGAATTCATAAATTACTCAAGAATTGAAGGTCAAAAACGGAATCTTAGAAAACTGAAATTCTGATGAACCAGTGTAGTTTTGTAACTGACATAAGGATGAAGTGGAAGCACAATAAGCTTTTTAATGCTATTTCTAACAACGGAATGTTTTCTTTTATGCCAAGAGGATCATTTTTTAAAGGCTTTATCAATGACCGAGAGAGAAAATCCTCGATCAGTGGCACTTAGATAATTGAGTTCAATAGCAAACAAAAATACATAATAGTAAAAAGAAGCCATTTAACTTAACCGGTGACATGACGCATGAGCAGAATATGAGTTGATGGCAAGCAGTATGTGTAAAATAGAGCTCTAGAAATCTAGTTTCAAGACATTTTAGTGCTCCTTCGACTGGAACATTAGTAAACAGTGATTTAACATCAAAAGAAACCGTAATAGAGCGCTAAGGAGAACTATCTTTAAGCAGGAAATATGAAAACTATATATTTGGTCAAAAGATATACGTATGATATATTTCGTAAGTTGGACCCATAGGTCGAAAAAGAATTCCAGTTTTGTAGACGTTGGGGAGAACATAAAACCTAGCACAGTTAGCACTAGGTGATTTGAGTGATTTTTTAAAGTGAGTTTGGAGTATATACGAAAATTTAACTTATTTTAACTTAGGTGGTGTCAAAAGTAGAAAGATCTTTTAGGGATTGCGCGGTATGGCCTTCATTTATCAGTTTGGTGAGTCCGTCAAAGTATGTGTGTTTGCCCATAACAACAATCTGTCAATTTCTCAGCTTTGTAAATTAAAGTGTTGGGATTAGAGGGAATTTCAAGTAAAGCCTTCATTTCTTTTTCGTTAAGATTCGAAGCAAACCATTAGCAATTAAAATTTCCGTCATGATTAATTAAGTGGAGGATTGTATTTTTCTGTGTTTCTGAAATTTTAGAGAATATAAAAACTTTGATCTATATATATACTTTGAAAGGTACTGTTACTGCAACCTAAATTATTATTGTGCGGTATAGGAAAGATCGGGTGTTCCAAGCATCACCTTAGGTGCAACCAGTATTATTGGAAGAGGGATATACTGAAGTATAGTTAGGATAGTCAACTGTAAATTGCAGTTTATTTTTTATTTATTTTAGACATCATGCTTTTTTCTCTTAAAACATATGATTTCTTTTATTTCTAATTGATTATGTTATTTTCCTTACTTACTTGATTTATATAAATAATTTTTTCTGTTAAAAATGTTCTTATTTTTATGTATTAGTTTTAATTTTTTTTTTTTTTTTTTTTTTTTTTTTTTTTTTTTGTCTTCCTTTAAAAAGCTGTACAGCTAATGCTGACGACTAAGACCTTATTATTACCCTATGGCTGTAAGAAAAGGAGTTACACCATAAGAATTAATGCAAATATATAGTTTCAAGTGAAACCAAATTGAAGGTATCTGGGATTAAAATCCTAAAAAGATATCTACACAGATTGTTTAAAGAAACTATTTTGGCGGTTTTTGTGATTAAGAAGTTTGGAAAAAAGAAAAATATAACTTTATATTTTTAACATATGCACGAGATGACCACAAAGAATGGAACAGTTATAGGCCGTCTAGTAAAGCCCTCAGTAGTAAACTGAGCGGTTTACTAGACGGAGATGACATCATAAAAAATATCCCTTGCGAAGTCACCACTAGAAATCTTACCATGTTCGATCAGATTACAGTAAATTGGGAATGGAATTTAAGGCATTAAAACTGAAAATAGACAGATAGGTTTTTAAGGTAATTTAAGGCAGAAATACATGATAAAAATTCATTTTTATAGGAATAAAAATAGAAGTTTTATTTATACTGATATAGTTTTAGATGCTAAATTTTCGCATTAAACATCTAAAGTAATGATATTTTATCCACACGTTTTTTAATTTGTTTTCTCGAACGCGCGCTTCAGACAAGATGATATCAGCAATACCATTTTCGTGCACATGTTTTTACAAAATAGAAGATACCTTTTTACACAGGTTTCTTGTCTAGTGAACATTTGCTACGAAAAATATGTTTTTCTTATTAGCTATCTCGTTCTCTGAAAAAAAGGTATTTTCTCCTCTTAGTTTACCGCCAGCGTTAAAACAAATTTAAAAGTTCCTATCCAAAATCAACTCTTTCCTACCTTAAATGGTTTTCTTTCAAAGTTGTGGAATTGCTAAATTGTTTCTATTTTTGATTAACTGATTTTTTTCCTCTCTGTGCTGTGCAATAAGGACAATGAACATAACGTCAAAATTTATGAAGACATTTTTCATTCTTCTATTGCGATAATAAAAAGTTGGTAAAAGGTATCGTCTCAGGAAATTCTGAAATGAGGATTGCAGGAAAAGCACTTCTCATTTGTTGACAAATTACTGTTTTTGGAGATGAGAATTTTCTTGCAAAGACATTCGGTCTCAATATTTCATGCTGGCGTTGCACAACTCTTTTATCCGAAATCAACTCTTTAACAAAAGTGTTGAACGATGCGAATTTTAATTTCAAGATCAATCAATACAAAGAGATCCAGCACTAATTAGAGGTATCCAGCACTAAAATAGTGAAACGAATCGGAGTAACAATTACCCGATTTCTTACTTCAGTTGTAATCAAATGCAGATTCCAGTGATCAAAAGGCTCCTTGCTGTAGGTTATAAAGTTGCACCTGAAAATAATCATTTACTGATTGCATCAACTGAGCATCCACAAATGAGCGTTGTAGTTATGAGTTTCCTTATCAAAAGAGCGGAAGACGTTGGAATCAACCTAATCTTCTCAAATATACTATTAGTATCAAAGAAGAGGAAACTTAATTGTTGTCATGTCTAGCTCAAAACGGGGAAAAAACAATAGAAGATAAGCATACTATAAAACCTCTCTTTCTTAAGGTAAATGAAGTGTAACTATTTTTTTAAATAAAAGCTGTGCTTTACACATATATAGAGATTAAATAATGTCAAGAAATGCATCTCAGAATGCTGAAGGTTCTTAGCTAACCTGGGTTCCTCACCACAAATCTTAAGCTGAAATTTTGTCGCCGTTTCATGCTTCTTGGAGGGGAGGGGTCAAACTCTGGTTCAAATTTACGCTATAACAAAGATGATGAATGTTTCTTATATCTGAAGAAAAATAAAGTTTCGCTGTCTTTGTTTGTGCGAGAAAAACTTTGCAGTCACTCGAACAATATCTTGTATATAATCAGGCACATGACGTTCATATGCTATGGAAAAAGCGACTCCTCTTTGAACATTTGGAGTCTTTAGATTACCATCTACATGATCTTCTACAAACACACTATGCAAAAACATAAAGCTTTTAATTTATCTTGGCCTCATGTGTAGAAAATATGTTGCTATTTGGCAGTTCATATGACCTACAAGTTAGGTAGCAGATCAACGGCTTTTGATTTTCACTTCATAAAACCTTTAATCCCCTAAAAAGTTTCATTTCAATAAAAACGATCTAGAATGTTCATTTGTTAGTTGAAAAGGTTTAAAATTTTATGTATTGCTTTGAAATTAATAATTTCACTAATTCTTGTTTTAGCAATCTTCACAACAATAGCGGACTGACTAGTGCCCTAACTTCTCCA